AATTTTCTAAAATCGGTTCACAAATTTAAGAGTTCTGAGGTAACAAACATAATAAACAATAATATATATAATAATAAATACAAACATAATCCTCCTTTCTTTAAATCGGTTGAAAAGTCTATAATGGGCTAGATTATTATGTTCTACCGAGAGAATGTTGTAACCGGGAGGTTTATGTAACGTCATAAAAAAAAAACTAGTTTAGAACATTCTTGTTTAATATGTGACCTGTACAAATAGTGACTGGTTTGCCTGTTTTTTCTTCAGTGTTTTATTTTTTTCATACTTTAATTTACCTTCACTAAATTAAGGAATTAGTTTTAGGAGTTTAGGGAATCTTTGCTATAGTATCGTTATTGATTGTTTGGTTGCGCGGTTGTCAGTATAGGCCTTGGCATCGTCGGTTTTAACATAGGAGTGGCATACACATTATTTTATACTTAGATCCATATATTTTTGCGTGCCAACTGTTAGTGAAAACCACCACAATTTAGAGCGGCATAAAAGAGATTTATATGTGAATTTTGAACAGTGAGATAATGGGACCCTTAACAGTTAAATAGGTTTTCTCGACACATTGTGACGACAGAAGATTTTGAACTTTTGACACAAAAGTAAAGAATTTTGATATGATTTTCTTAACACAGGGTGAACCGTTTGTTGTTTCGCCGCTTTCCCCGCGAAATAATCGTCAACAGAGCATTCCTAACGCATGATGTTCCTACAGTGAGTTAACGTTGGCGGCGTTAATATCCAACGGCGTGTCTCGCCTCGGGACAGGACACCTCCGCGACAATGGCACTGACAATGGTTAGAACCGGTGTTTCCAGTCCGCATCGCAAACGGACCCGACAGCCATTGTGTATTCCGTGCCCCGTTTAGTACGTCAACGCTACTTGACTACTTAATAATGCGTGAGATTCTTTATTTTTATCGCATTTAATGTTTCTATTGAGTCATGATAGCTTAGTGTTCGGACGCAAAATCGAAATGTTAAGAAAGAAAAATATTTCGCACATATGTAAAGTCCGCCAATCCGCAGTGGGGTCATGTGGTGGACTATGCACTAATAGCCTCTGTACAGAGGAGGCCTTTGCCCAGCAGTGGGACATTTATAGGCTGTTACTTTTACTAAAGTTTTTATAGATATTGACTGCACAAACACACTCACCATAGAACTCACGTACATATAAATATTGTAGTATTAGAAAGCGGAATATGATCGTTTTAACAAAAGCTAGTAGATAATTTATCACTACCAACATATGTTCCGCCTACTGCGTCTTCCGAGTGGGCTTGAGAAAGAACGTGACCTGCTTTAGAAATATGTAACTTGTATATTTAACGGACCCAAAAAAAGTGTTGAATCAATAATAGAAATCGACACAATTTGATGCTCCTAACATGAATCTAACTTACATTAGGTTAAGTATTTAATATTAGATACCTACTGTTGATTTTAATTTCTGTTAAATCACATTAACTTAAGTAAATAAAGTAAGCAAGTAAATACGTGGACTCTTGATGATATTTCGGTGTTAGTTTCTTGAAAATACCTTTTAATAAATATTCTGGTAATAAATCTCCTATTGTAATACTTCCTCCTGGTAACACCTAGTACATGTAAAAATGTTACAATGACACTCAAGCGCACTTGCCCAATTCAAACGAGGCACAATTGAGTCGTGATTATCATTGTTTAAAGTCACGCGGCATAGACGAAGTATTATTTAATGTCTGAACTCTGATATAGCTGGCCCATTATGATGATATTTTAGATACGGTGGTTTGACTACTATTTAATAGATCCAGTAACGAATCAATTTACTTCTAGAGGCCATAAGTGTGGTGTGTATGAAGGTGATACATGAAAAATGTGTTATTTTTCTAGTAATTTTTGTGACATTGTTGTAAATATTGGAACGTATAAGTTGAAAGTTGGCGTTGGAATTATTTGATGTCAATTAGTCGGCTTATTAATAGAGATTGATTTGTCTTTAATTGATTTTCCAAAAAGATTAATTTTGTAAACCAGTTACTCATGATACCCTTAGCAGCGTTACATCAGAATTATAGGTTGATAATATAATAATTACCTCGGCAGTAATGTGATCTTATAAAGCGTTTACCGTTCGCTTTCATCGGAAAGTTTCTATGTGTATCTACTAACTAAAATACTATGCACTAATTTATGTTTCCATTCCAAAAAATAGTGCAGAATTCTAAGTTAAATGACGTTTAACCATTACCGCAACTAATGGGCAATACAGATTAACAAAAGATAATATTGAAAAAAGCTCATATTCTCTTCCATTAGTCCGTAGTTTATTTCGTCCAGTGTCTCAAGAGGCTGTAACAAGGATCATAAATCGTTGAGGTTTAAAGATAAACAACCATAAGGTAGATTAAAGATCTCCCCGTCGACCAGACAGCTACCAGCACGTGCCGAGCAAGAGAAAGTCAAATATAGAATGATAACGAAATCACGACGTTTACCTTTTTGAGAGCATTACACGAGAAATGAGAATGGGCTCTCTAAACCACTTCTTTAAAACGAGTGGCTCAGGGGCTCGGTCATTGGACCGACAATCTGTAGTTCGGGACTCGAATCCGCTGGTAGCAGTGTATTTTCGATATACTACATTTTTTTATCTTTTAACAGACTTCCTCTACGTACTATACATTAGATTTATTACGTGCAATTTGACGACTTCATGGCGCAGTTGCTAATATAGGATTCGGCGCCGCGGGTCGTGGGTACGATTCTCACACGGGACAACTATTTGTGACCCACAGATAATTGTTTCGGATATGGTGTTTGTCCACGTGAAAACGTCCTTACAACACAGGATTAAAAATTAAAAAAGTAAATAGTAATTGACTCAATATATGCCACGAGGACTACTCGTATCACTTTTCTATCATAAGGTATGATGTGTCCTCTTCTTATTCCGTCTGCACAAAAAGAAACAAAGGAAAATGATCGTACCTAAATGAGATAAGGGCAGAAGGATGATGTCGAAAACTTACCTGCTAATGTTACACCATACAAAAACTTCGTAATTGTATCTATGTGATGTTTGTCAGTCGTTGGTGTTTCGTGCGACAGAGATAACGCTCTAGGGTGCCGAAATTAGCCGATTATCTCTTTTCAGAGGCCGATACGTAGTTCTGGACGTACGTAAACGCCTGACATCCAAACGAAGTAGGCAGAGTCTCATCACCACAGTTATAGTACACCACTTCTATAGTTCGCCGATTCCGGAATTTAGTGAAAACGATAACCACTAGATTAGAAACACTATCCAGTTTGATACGTCTTTCTGTCTAAATGTTACGCATTCAGCCTATTCTACGCAGGCGTAGTCGCGGGCAGCAGCTAGTAATACATAAAAAGACTTGTTCAAGGCGGTCATCGAACTCAAAACCATTCAGGTCTGAAACTTACAGCTTTGCTTAGAGTCATCAATTCACTATTCATCGCGCACAGTCGAAATCTTCCTATAATTGCTAAGACGTAAATCGAATATCGTGGGGAGTGACGTCATAGTCCGTTAATCAACTTTCAGTAATGAACTTCAAGCGTTCAAAGAGAAATCTCTATATCGGCCCGGCTATTTCAATTGGACCAACGTCCATAATGGCGTGCTTAAGCCTGTTTATATTTGGGAGCACTCACGACCAAAGCCGAGCTTTTGGATGTGTGAGCGAAGATAGCAATGGCCCTCCGTTTCGTGCGTTTCAAATTCGACCTTAGCGCGTGGCGATACAGTTTAATTGACAATAGACCGTGAAGATATTCATCATTTTAAATACTTTCGGTGAGTATCGCATAAGACATAAAAAGTTCAAACGGGAATTTTAGTAGTAACTATTGCGTAATGACATTGCTACATGTATACCACTATAAAATGCCAAAACTATCTTTACTCTGGCCTCATTTTCGATGTAAGTTTACTTTTTTTACGTGGCAAAATCCTATATGGATCCTCTGTCACCGCATTGGGGGAGCGTCAGCGGTATATGGTAGTCCCAATCTGATGACCACTAAGTACAAAGATACGGGATAAGTGTACTATCTATTATTTACGTTTCATTTAGTATCTCATTAAAATAACTAAATCTGTGAGAGGACGAATTTTCACTTTTGTAACAACTGTGCTAAGTCAATTCATCAGGATTTGAAGCAAGGTAAATACATGTAACTTTATACATGTAAAAATATCAAGTTTATAATATTCTTTACTTGACTTTGTATGGTGTTTTTGTTTCAGTCCGTAGACTATCAGAGCATTAACGAACGCAAAACTCTTGTGATAGCCAACATACGAACTTTCTACGGGCCTACGCGCTGCGTGCCTTATCTATGGGGAAATTTTATATGTTTTCGGTCACGACTTCAACTTAAGGTTTCTTTATCATTTTAAGTTAGAACTTAGTACAATATAGAATAAAATTTTTGAATCAAAACGAGAAAGTTTTTTTTTTAATTCATTAAGTTAACCCACACCTTTACTCCTAAATTAATTTATTTTTAGTCCATCCAAAGGTTGCCTGGATAAAACTACTTTTAGTAATAAGGCTGCCCATTGTACCCATCACTTCTACATTAAGTTATTGATTTTTGTTTGTGTTATTTTTGGTGTGCAATAAATTATATTAATTTTTTCATTCATTCATTAATCTATGCATTTTTTGGAATACAACACAGTGTAAGTTAAGTAATTTTCTTTACTATCTGCTGCCCGCGACTACGTCTGCGTAGAATACGCTGAAGGCGTAACATTCAGACAGAAAGACAGATATACATAAAAATATGTATTTAAGTTATAGCCTATGTCTTATTCCGATGTATAAGCTATATTATCGTTAAGTTTCATTACACTCCATTCAGTAGTATTTGCGTGAAAGAGTAACAAACATCCATCCATACATACAAACTTTCGCCTTTATAATATTAGTAAGGATTTTGCTTAACTTATTCTATTTGTCGTTCGCAGGGCTACTTGCACGTTTGGAGGCGGGACGCCACCTTCTCTGAGGAAGAGCTCTCAGAACTGTTCAACAACATCGAAGACATCTACGCTTTTAACAGGCAAGTTAACGTCTTACCGCCGTGTCATGTTCCATTACTTATGTATAAACCTAAATGTCGAAACTTTTTACAGTGTTTTCTGATATGTGAAGGCATTGGCATTAGGTGGACGATCACTTATCACGTGCTCAGCAATGAAGGAAAACATCGTGAGGAAACAAAATATAATAATTAATAAAAATGTGATAATAAAAAAACATTTCGAAGTTATGTGAAGTCTACCAATATACAGTGGGGATCCCTCACCCTCTGTAAAGAGGAGGCCTTGGCCCAGCAGCGGGGTATATACAGGCTGTTACTCTACATGTTTTATTTTAATTCCGGACATATTAGGCCGCTTGCATTGCTTCCTTTTGGACCGTCAATTGATTCCAGTCTAGTTCAATACGTATCTTTAACTTATTTTTTAATTACTCTTATTAATATAAAATAATGCCGTGCGTACACGTTCGGATACGACACGTATATATCTCGCCATCCTTTGTCAGACCCTCTTCAAGTGACCCCAACGAGCCGTCATTAATATGTGAGCAGTTGCGCTCACTCTGCAAATAAATAAATGTTTAAAACATTATAAACTTCTCCTCTACACAAATGAATTCCCGTAATCTGCCATTTCTTGTAGCATTATCCATACTATCCATACTAATATTATAAATGCGAAAGAAACTCTGTCTGTCTGTCTCGCTTTCACTCCAAAACTACAGAACCGATTTAAATGAAATTTGGTACCCAGATAGTCTAGAGCCTGAGAAAAGGACATTTTTAATTGAAAAAAAAAAAAAAAAAAAAAAAAAAAAAGTGTTGTGAAGGGTTTAAAGATATTTATTTAATTCGCGGCTTCCCTCGCGTGCGAAAAGCTAGTATTAAATAAACAAACATTGTGTAAAATTATGTACCTATTCGTGTAATCGATAAAATGAATAAACAAACATTTTATCGATGAAACGAATACACCTTGGATATCTTTAAGTAATTTACGACCAACCACTAGGTTAATTTTAAGCGTGCACTTCAAATAACGGCATGAGATACTGGAGTATCTTAGTAGACACTAGCGGCCCGTGGGTTCTGCGTTCTATAAAGCTTTAATAGTTAACGGACTGAAAGCAAAAACGTCAGTCAATGCAAGATGATATAATTATCAAAACTTAATTCTGTCGATCCGATCGATACCCAATTTTATAGGATTCACACCACTCAACCACTGGACTATCCTGAATATGTCTTCAAACTCGGCCCATCTCATATCGGTTTTGGAATCCGTAGTGAACATACGTAGCTGATGTTTAAGTTTACACTTGATAACGTTGCTTAAATGAGTATGTCAGTAGATACAGCTAGTTATTTAGTTTTGAGGAACAGATTTATTCGTCATTGTCTATTAATATATCCATCTCCTATTTGGCTAAAAGCAGTTAATTATCCCTTGCTATCTGTTATTTTTAAAGTGGTAAAACATCGAGCGAGCGGTGATCGATTACTGGCTACCCTTGTCATAAGTAAGACCTGTAGAGTTGTAAAATATATAAAGATTTTCAAATTTGTAAAGTAACTTTTATCGTTTATTAATTATTGTTCTTTGATTTAGGTATACCCTTTTTTAAGGTATAACGTTTCAATATTAAGTGACGAACTGTTGACACTAACATTCAACATAACAGTGAAGGACTTGGTACAAACACATTTTTGAAAAAAAAAGTCGATTGTTTTCTTTTGCGCTTTATTGTTAAGGACAATTTATTCAAGTTAACTACACTACGGTTACGAAGAATAAAGTATAAATAAAAAAAGTGCTTTGATTTCACCAGTAAGTAATGTCATCATGATTTGAAACGTATTTCGTACATAGCAAATACGCTATAAATACACAAAGTATTATTTTGAATTTACTGTAATGTTATAATTACATCACCTCAATACTTCTCGGTTAGAATCGAGGGGAGAGAGGGGAACGCTGCGAATGTACTCATAAAAGGAGAGAAAAGGGTCTTTTTTATAAAAGAGCCCCTTATACATATTAATACAGGGTCAGCTCTGTTTGATCATAGTAAAATTTGGCTCGCGTACGCCTCCCCCTAACTGTGTAATATAATATGGAACGATCTATAACCACTTGCTTTTGTTGGACGAAACAGGCAAAAAAAAATTGTTGGCAAATTGTTGTTCCGTTAAAACTTTTTAAAGACGTTAACTTCAAACAATCTTAGGTATAATTGCGTAGAATTTATTAGGAAATAAATACTGTTCTGGTTTCTTACGCGTTTACGGATTGGTTATTTTCAATGGGAACCAACGTAATTCGTGAGAACATATGAATGATGTCTGCATAATCAGCGCTTGGACTATCCTTACTAATAATATAAACGCGAAAGAGTAACAAACATCCATCTTGTTTTCTTGATTTTGTTACTCTTGCAAAAACTACTGAATAGATTTTAATGAAACTTTACAATAATATAGACTATACATCAGAATAACCCGTAGGCTATAACTTATAAAGATATTGTGTGAATTGTCCAAAATATAGGTAATGATAAGTGTCAACTAAGTAGGGAAAAATTCAGCCATCTGCGAAATATTCTGGTGTATAATAAAACACTCATTGTTTATTCCCTTTGGCCGCGCGAGCGAAGCCACGGTTAACAGCTACGATATCGGAGATATAAGCTCAGCGTCTGGATGCGTAACAACGACGCCGCAGGTTCGATCTTAAAAAAATTAATATATATATATATATATATATATATATATATATATATATATATATATATATATATGCGTCTCTTCTACTTTGATATACAAATTTACTGACTGATGGTTATCCGACCCATTAAAAATATATTTATAAGTTTCCCTTTGGCCGCGCGAGCGAAGCCACGGTTAACAGCTAGGATATCGAGGATATTAGCTCAGCGTCTGGATGCGTAACAACGACGCCGCTGATTTGATCTTAAAAAAATTTATAATATATATATATATGTGCGTCTCTTCTACTCTGATATACAAATTTACTGACTGATGGTTATCCGACCCATTAAAAATATATTTATAAGTTTTATAACTATTTACCTATTTCTTATTAATAAATATTGTTTCATGAAATATTTTTACGCAACGTTATCCACTCGCAAAATAAGCAAACCCTAAAATATGGGTACTAGTTATGTAAATAACGTGTTTAAGATGTAAACACTGACACTAGGAAAACATTACACACTATTTTTATGTGTAGTGGGGATCGAAGACGCACCCTCAGGCGCAACGGTTCACTATCCTCTAAGTTATTATGTCGTCTCCGACACTATCGAATATCGACCAGCGTGAGAGCACAAACAAAGGTCCAACACACAGGTCATTATTCCCACGCGCAGTAAACTGGCACTCGCTTGAATACCGTCACTGCGCAATCGCCACGTTCCTGCAAGCTGCAGTGTCGTTAAATTGCAAAACAATAGAGCATCAACGCACGACGCCAGGTAGAGCGTAACGAGTGGTCAAGCTCATTACTCGATTTTCTTTCCCTTTTCCTTCCCGCTAAAAAAAGTCACGATTATGTGTAGTGATCCCGCGTTTGTAAAAAATTTACATAGATTATTAATTTTTAGGGTTCAGTACCCACAGGGTAGATTACTAAGAATCCGCTGTCTGTATGTCATAGTTAGACAGTTGAAATTTTCACAGATGATGTATTTTTGTCGGCGCTATAACAGCAAGTACTAAAAAACAGAATGAAAAAATACTTAAGTGGGGCATGATTTTTTTGCTCAAAACTTATAAATTTCGCGGTCGCCAGGATTTTTTATTTACAAATATCATTAAATAATTGTCCCGTGCAAAAAATGCCAATAAATTTGTTTTTATATGCTGACTCACCACGTGCTTAGCGTTGAAGGGAACATCGTGAGGAAAAATGCATTTTTTCGAAATAACAAAAAAAAAATTCGTTGATAAGTGAAGTCCGCCAATCCGCAGAGGGGCCGCGTGCGAGACTATGCCTTAACCGTATACAGAGGAGGCCTTTACCCAGCTGTGGGACATTTAATCCCGGTTTCTGAAAGAAGAAATGTAGAAATTAACTAATCAGTAGTCAAATGGCATGTTCAATGACAATTGGGTTGCCAAAAGGATTGTTAAACACATGGATTTCAAATCCATTTGAAGAAAGAAACAATTTGATTAGAAATCAAAGTGTTTTAACCATCCCTTTAGCAACTCAATCTCTCTACGTTGATCAGTCTTTCAGAGACCGGGCGTAAATGTTCCACAGCTGGTATGTAGTCTGTTACTTTACTTTTTACCATCACTGCAGCTCTCTATGCGGGGAACTGAACACGTGCCGCTTGGACGCGACCTGCATCGCGCGCTGCTTCGTCAACAACACCGCCGGCTTCGCGGTGTACACGTCGTACTGCACCGGCTACCCGCGCACCATGGAGAGGTTAGCTGACCTCGCCTCGAAGCCGCAGAGCGCCCGCCAGTTCAGGGAGAGGCAGATGGAGCTGCAACACCCGCTGCCGCTCGCCTCCTACCTCCTGAAGCCGGTGCAGAGGATCCTCAAGTACCATCTGCTGTTGCAGGTTTGCCAATCGACCGTTTACTGCGTTAGATCGGCGGACGCTTCCGTCCCGGCTTACCAGTGCGATGCGGCGCGTGACCGTGAACTCACTCTAAGGGACCTCCGATAGGTTCTTGCCAATTGTAGTTTCCTTGTTTTAGTTCGCAGTCCCATCCCGTCTCGTAAGACCAGTGCGATGCGGCGCTTGACCGCCAAATCACACTAGTGAGGGATCTCAGATAGGCCTGAAACTAGTCGTTATTTACATCGGACATGCTGAACTCATGTCCAATGGTACCGCCTAGTTTCGCTTTTGATCGTTTCCTTCTTTAGTTCAGCGGCCGCATCCCATCTCGTAAGACTAGTGCGATGCGGAACGTGACCGCGAACTCACTCAGATAAGTGTCCTCGGATAGGTCCAAATTTAGTCGGTACTTACATCGGACGCACTAAACTCACGTCCAATGTTACCTACGTTTCCGAATAGTGTCGGTTTCGTTTTGCTGACCGTCCAAATAATTTACCTTAAATTGTACATGGCCTCACGGAAGGCCGGCGTAAAGTGGAAGTATTATACTTTCGCTTTTTTAAGGTTGTCAGTCCATCACCATCAGGCCATAGCATCAGCTTCCGATGTCCATGGCGGTAATCACTCAACTTCAGTTGAACTGCCAACTCGCTCGACAAGTTTTCACATTAAAAAAAAAGAAGTTATCGCTAACGTGTATTGATTTATGAATTGACAACGCGCTTGCTTAAATTGTATTTGATGGCGCATTCGTTATGTCATCTGTCGGAATACGCGGGAACTAGATTTGACAGATTCTGCTTGTCAAAGTGTTGATGTAAACACGTTGTTGAGTGGTTTTGCGATTTTATTTTATATTCATTACATTTGAATACCTAAACTTTTTTGTTTTGTAAGTGTTTGGTGGTGGTTTTTGTGGGATTGGTGAGTATTTTTATCTTTACGAGCCATTTCCCTTTTAAGTAAGGGAAATGGATGAAGATAAACCCCAGGATGGGGGTGGTGGACGCCCTCCCGATAATATGATGGAACAGCATGATTCTAATTTTATCTTTCAAACTCCTGCTCCTACTAGCTTAAAACCTGAAAGTCACATGAACCGAAAACGCCCGGCTGAAAATAATGAAACTGTCAACATACTCATAAAATTACTCCACCCTCCGTTTCTTATCAGTCCACGTATTCTAAAAAGGGTTACGAAATTGATTCAAAACTTGAATACACTAATTGTGATAAGTCTCCTTTCATAGTCCACGTCACTAGGTTCTCTCCTGACATGTCTTCTGGGCAGTCTATTCGTTTACTCAAATTTGCCCAACTTCTACATAAATCGAATGTGTCGGGAATTGTAGAAGGAGGCATTAAATCACTGGGGAGAAACAGAGTCCTAATAGAGTTTAAATCCTATTCAGAAGCTAACAACTTTTTATCAAATGATTTCTTACAAGTAAATAACTTTATAGCTTAAATTTCCTAGATTTCACATTACCAGGATGGGAGTGGTTAAAAATATTCCTACTGATTGGACGTTAGAAGAGTTGGTAGAGAACATAAAAACACCCTCCAATTGTGGTGAGGTTATTAGGGCTCGTCGTCTTAACACTAAACTGCGAACAGATGACAAGGTTACTTGGGTCCCATCTACCTCTGTAGTACTTAATATTACTGGTCAATTACTTCCTGATAGAGTCTTTTGCTATCATTCATCTCTACCTGTTTCAATCTATCAATTACCTACTATACAATGTAGAAACTGCTGTAGATTTGGACACATTGGTTCACAATGTAGATCAAAACCGAGATGTTATCGCTGTGGCCAGGGACATACTGTGGATACCTGTGAAGCCATTGAAAAAAATTCATATTGCATACTATGTAAGGGAAATCACAGAGCAACTGACACAAAATGTCCTGAGTACTCTAGACAAAAATCAATTAAAATGATTATGTCTCAGGATAATATAAGTTACTCTGAGGCAGCTCTGAGAGTTCCTTCTTCCATATATCCTTATGCTGACATTGCCAGTTCCTCTTCCGGCAAACATATTGATCCAAACCAAATATCCCAACATCCTCAATCGTCTGGTAAAATACCAATATCCCAACAAATCTGCTATTCCCTACCATCTACCTCCCACACCATTCCCCAAAAATCATATTCCAAAACTTATTATAAATACCCTTGTCCCAAAGCTCCTCTGGGTAAGACATATGATGTCTTAGCTCATAAGAATATAATTAGCTCCCCTCAATCCTCCCAAACCAATGGCTGTGCTCTTTCCTCTCCTTTTATAGAGTCAACCCCCATGCTCACTCCTAATGACAACCTTATCGAACTCCTTATCTGCTCTCTTATTAATATGGTTTCCAAATTTTCTGACTCATTACCGAACAACGTCGTTATCCTACTCCAACAACTGCTCGAACGATTGATCACCAAAAATGGCGACAATTCTTCAGTGGAATTGCAGAAGTATTCGTCACAAAAAACATGACCTTATTTTTTTAATTAACCGCTTTAAGCCAGTACTTCTTGCCATCTCGGAGACCTGGTTGAAACCGGGGTCTGTATTCAGGCTTCCGGGTTTTTCATGCCTCCGTGATGACAGAGATGACGGAAAGGCTGGCTGTGCTCTCCTAGTCTCAAGGTCCATTACCTTCTCCCAAATTCCAATCCCTCCCCATAGCTCTGAGCTGCATGTAGTTGCAGTCAAAGCTCATAACATTTCCTATGTATCCTGTTACATCCCACATCCTAATAGATCTGTCATTTCTGAATTAAGTCATATTTTGTCCTCTATCCCTGGTCCTCTCATTATCTCCGGAGATTTTAATTGTCACCATCCTTTGTGGGGATCCCACCACATCAATACTCCCTCCCCTTTTTTCCTTGATTTATTAGATGACAATAACCTTTGCATTTTAAATGACGGTTCTCCAACCCGAAGGACTGCTCCCGGACAAAACATCAATGCACCTGACCTAACCCTCTCTTCCCCTTCTTTAGTTAATTATCTTTCATGGTCCATACTACCTAACGCATATGGCAGTGACCATTTTCCCATCTTAATCCAATCCCTTCAACCCTCACCCATCATTCATAGTGTCCCACCTCTACAACGGTTTAGACTCTGTGATGCTGACTGGGATAAATATTCTAAAAGCTTAGACACCAAAATCCTTTGTCTCCCTCCTGTGGATTCCTTTAACTTCCTGTCCTTGTATAATGATTTTGTTACCTGTTTGCTTGCGGCTGCTGAAGAATGTATTCCTTTAAAAAACTCCTCTCGTGGTCGCCTCTCCTCTCCTCCGTGGTGGGACCCAGAATGTACTGCTTCTATCAGATCAACAAATCATGCGGAGTTGTTAGTTATAGTATGTTTAAATTATCTGCATATACCTAATGCAGATAATTTAAACATGGAGAATTATCTCGCCTACCGTAAAACCTGTGCTAAAACAAAAAGAACTTTAGCAAAAAAGAAGTCCAAGGGTTGGCTTAATTTCTGCGAATCTCTATCTCCCCGCACTTCCATAACCACAGTATGGCGTAGAATTTCTACTTTTCGTGGAATTTTTGCCGAACAGATCATGTCTTCTAATGACCCTTCAACATGGTTAGATAGCTTTGTAGATAACTTAGCCCCTCCTTTTGTTCCCTCTCATGACTGCTTTCCCCTATCATCTATCCCTTCTTACTTATCTGACAGAATGAACGACCCATTTTCCTACTCTGAGCTCTTGTGTTCTCTTGACAACCTCAAAGATTCCTCTCCAGGCGTTGACGGAATCTCCTATTCATTTATCTGTAAATCTTCTTTTTCATCGAAATTATTCTTCCTTAATATTATAAATGAAATTTTTTCTACTGGACGCGTTCCAGAGTCATGGAAGACTCAAATAATCATCCCAATTCTAAAACCTGGTAAGGATCCTAACAACTCATCATCATATCGACCCATTGCCTTATCATCTGTAATGGCAAAAATTTTAGAGCACCTTTTAAAAAATAGATTAGAGTGGTTCCTTGAGAACAGAGGCCTGTTATCAAATACTCAATTTGGTTTCAGACGTGGCATGAGCACTATGGATAGTCTTAGCATCCTTACATCTGAAATAAGACATTCTTTCTCTCGTAATGAGCATGTTATTGGGGTCTTCCTTGACATCTCCTCCGCTTATGACAATGTGCAGCTTCCAATACTCAGGCAGAAGATGCTTAATCTGAGTATCCCCGTGAGACTTGTTAACATTATCCTTAACTTATTTATGTGTCGCTCTATCTGTGCCCGTTCTCTTGGCTCTTTCCTTCCTTCCCGTCTTGTCTGGAAGGGTCTCCCTCAAGGCTCAGTCCTAAGTCCCCAACTCTACAACCTATATACTGCCGATCTTGATTCAACCGTTAACTGCTTTTGCAAAATACTTCAGTATGCAGATGATATAGCATTATACACCACTTGTTCCTCTCTGTCGGATGGATGTACACAATTAAACACCGCTTTGTATTATTTAAATGTTTGGCTTTTGGACCATGGACTAAATTTATCTATACCTAAATGTCAGGCAGTTACTTTTACTCGTAAACGTTATATCCCCCATTTAAGACTCTCTGTACCTGGTGAGCCTATTTTATTCCAAGACCGAATAAAGTTTTTGGGTGTCTTTCTTGATTCAAGGTTGAGTGATGTATATCACTTAGAGTATGTATATAAAAAATGTGAAAAGAATACCAACATTTTGAGAGCTTTGTCAGGAGTTCATTGGGGATCTCATCCTTTCTCTCAAAAAATACTGTATAACGCCATTGTACGTAGCCATTTTGATTACGGCAGTTTCATCCTGGAGCCATGTAGTAAACTAGCTCTAAATAAGCTCGACAAAATACAGTCAAAATGTTTACGTATAATTACAGGCGCTATGAAATCTTCTCCTATTAATGCCCTCCAAGTAGAGTGTGTGGAACCGCCCTTATTCCTTCGTAGACAGTTTCTTGCTGACAGATATTTCTCCAACGCTGTTCAGTATCCCTCTCATCCCATACTAAAAACCCTACGTCTCCTTTCCCACTCCATTAATTCTTCCCCATATTGGAACAATAAAACCATACTATTGTTGGTTAATAGCTTCCATACATATAAATCCTTGTCATCTCCTGCCCTCCTATTAGAAAACCATCCCCTTTTTATTGCTAGTTATGATTCTCTTGTATTCCAGCCTAAAATCATTTTGAACTTTGGGGTAGACAAAAATTCAGTAGATGCTAATAACAAATTCAATAAACTTATAAATAACAAATGGGTAGACTGGGTCCTGATTTTTACAGATGCTTCAAAATTAGATATGTCAACTACAGGTGTCTCTGTTTACATCCCAAAGTATAATGTTGTTTTGACCTTTAAATGCCCTTCAGAATGCTCCGTCTATACGGGTGAATCTATTGCTATTTTAGAAGTAGTAAAATATATAGATGCTAATCGAATCCATTTTTCTAACTCTTTAATTCTAAGCGATTCACGAAGCTGTTTAGAGGACCTAAGGAAACTTCCCTTTCATCGTAAACATCAATCCCCAATTATTCTGAAAATAAAAGAAATTTTGTATAATTTGGCAAAAGTCGGTACTGAAATTGTCTTAGCTTGGATCCCAGGACACATGGGTATCTTGGGGAACGAAACTGATGATTTTTATGCTAAACAGGCTACACAGATAGGTAACACAAGTCATTCGAGTATACCTTCTCGTGACCTATGCTGCTTGGCCAAACCGCGACTAATGAAAACGTGGGACAATTTCTGGAAACAGTCCAATACTGTAAAAGGGAAATATTATGCAAAGATTCAGCCCAATATACTGTCTCGACCTTGTTTTTTAAATTTAGTTCTTAAATAAAATTGTCACCTCTATTATAATACGCCTTCGCTTAGGACATGTTTGCTCCCCAGTGTTTTTAGCTAAACTGCACATACGAGACCACTCACTTTGCCAATGTGGCTTGGCAGAGGGCACACTAGAACATTTATTTTTTCCTGTCAAAATCTTACAGTTCCTCTTTATGATATCCTACCTTATAATTTTCCCAGGCCTGTCAATATTCCATTCCTTCTAACCCTCACTGAATCCCTTTTTATTAAAGTCCTAGATAAATTTATCCGTTTAAATAACATAAGACTATAACTTCTTATATTTTTCCCCTACTGTATTGTTGTCTTAATTATGTGTTCTGTGTATTCTCCTTAACATCTAGCTGTTCTAATTTATTATATCAAATTATTCATACACTAATCCATTGTTTGTCCTTTGTTCATTTAACTCAACTGGATGCGCGTAATAGTCTACCTACCGTACAAAGGCCAATATTACCGGCTAATCTCATTCTTTACTAACTGTTTTATTCAACCTTGACATTGGAAGAATCATCAAGTTATTCCCTGATGGAGCCATTATACAAAAATTTTAATTGAATTGAATTGAATAGATTTGACAGCTGTCATTTCTGGCGGAATGTCGGGTCGATGGTCAGCGCGACTATGCCGGCGGCATTCGATTAGGAACCGCCATCGCGAATGCACCACGTTTTCGACGGATCGTTCTTGTCCCGCGAAATCATATAATAATTAGTGCTTATTGTAATTAAAAGTGACTATTTTAATTGCAGTGCATTAATTTGTGGGTTTCGAATCCGCACCCGCTAGCAAAAGAGACTGGTTTAATATCCACTACGCCAATGGGGTCGTAAATATCTGAATGTTTCCCAGAACGTGGTCAAGCAGTGTGCCTCGAGGGAGACGGAATACGCTTTGCTGAAGATGACTGGCATCGCTCAGCACATAGACGACATGAAGCGGAGACACGAGCACGCCGTTCGCGTACAGGCAAGTGCACTAGCCCACTGTTATGTCCCACTAATGGGCAAACGTCTCCCCATACAATTCTAATCCATCGGAACTTGACTAGACATTCCAACCCATCCATCATCCTTCCGGAATATAAAGCCGTTTAAATGCGACACCGATATTTATTTAATAAGTGACCAAATGCCTTTTTCTTATCATCAACATCATTTCAGCCCGTTTGAGTCCACTGCTGACCATAGGCCTCCCCCATAGACTACCACGGAGTACGATCCTGAGCCACCTGCATTGAGGTTGCCACTCGAGAACCTTTCTTCCCCAACGGCTATCGGTTCCACGAGCTTTTTTTATGTACTATTAAATGAAAGACGAATTCTAAGATTTCGCATTCTGGTATCTTTCAATCTTTTACCAAAGTCAAAAAGCTTATGATCTAAACACCGACTTATCGCATCCATTTGGATTAGTCCAGAGAGAAAGGCAAGACAATTCGATAGTTTTGTGGTTTTCCTTAGTTTTGATGCAAAACCAAACAAAACTACTACCAAGCAATAGAAAACTACTGAATTTAAGCAAACCATGTTTGCTTAAATTCAGTAGTTTTCAGGATACGTCCAAATATTCTAGACTAGAGTCATTCCTTTGTCCTCGATGCAAGTTCCACTTATTTTGAATTAAGGTTGTTATAATGTTTCAAATTTTCACGTCCCGTATTAGATTTCTTTCATAAGATTGTATACCATATTTTTAGGAGATCCAATCTCTGCTCTACGGCTGGAATGGTCCGGACTTGACGACTTACGGAGAGTTGTGCGCCGAAGGGACATTCAGGTAATCCAGTCGACTATATTATGAAGTCTAGAAATTAAGTCAAAACAACAAGCTTTAGTGATTACTTTTATTTTAAAGGTGTTTTTCTCATTCATAAAAGTATACCGATTCTTACTTAATAATTTTTTCTTACTTAATATTTTAATCATACTATGTAACCCACCAGCTTTTCCTGAAGTAGAAAAATCTAAAACGCTATTATAAAAACCAAGTCTCATCTATGGTTTATTAATCTTCAATATGATTTAATTAATTCAAGTTTTACTTCCTAGACGCTTGGTTCTTATCTTCTATATATATATATATATATATATATATATATATATATATATATATACTCGGGTATAGCAGATGTCCATGGGCGGGGTGGTATTCACTTAACATCAGGTGAACCACCTGCCCGCTTGGCAACTTTTCACATAAAAAAAGAGGTCAGCTAAGAAGGGATTTTACGAAATTCCACAAAACAACGTTTACCGAATCAGCTAGTAATTTATATAAATAATGTGATATCTTCATTTAATGTCATATATATGTAAAATTATAAAAGTTTTGAGAAATAACGATTTTTAAAAGCATTTCGTGTTCATCTCGTCTTTTCTCGCCATGTATAAGTGGGGCCGACGGTGTAGATTTTAATACAATAGGCAACGCAGGCGGGTTAGTTGGGAAATGAAAACCAAACTTTCATATACACATTCTATCATGACGTGACATCTTCGAAAACCGACTTTCCTCAATTCAATTCCGGCAGTTTACAATAGTTTACATGGACAATTCAATCACGACCAATTTTAGATCCGACAAACATACGTCCGACAAATTTACACCAGTCTCAAGAATCGGCAAAAACTGCTGTCCCTTAATATATATAAAACAAAATATTGTTTAAAATGAGTCTTGTGTACGTCAGTCTGTTTTATGGTAAATGAATCTCTTTCTTTATTTCTTTCTCTCTATATGTTTGTGGAATCTGAACAAGAACGCAGATTGAAGGTTCTGCTAACCTACTGATATCGTTTACGATACCTGTATGTTTTTTTTTAGACTAAGAAAAGTCTAGACAGTAAAGCCGTATCCAATAACGGGACAACGAATGAATTATAAAGCTTTTAATTGTGTAAGGTTTATTTATAACACGACACCTCTTGTATTCTGTTTAATTGAAGTTAGTTTTATATCCTCATAAATTTGGTAACCATGTATTTTTGATAAGTTAGCAATTTGTATAACCGTTTTACCTTGTTGGCAACCTTGTTTAAATTAATAAATAAAGCAACAAGGCTGATGGCAATGTTGCTGGTGATATTTTTTTCAAATTCCTATATCTTTATTCAATATAGAAGCATATTACTTATTCATTGTCAAAAAACACTACTACCGGTTCGGAAAAAAGCCACTGACCTAAGAAGAACTGGCTAAAGAAACTCATCGAGGCAACCTCCGCTCCGATCACAATCTGTCCCTTCAAATTTCTCTTTATCGTTCCTATTTTACATCCAACTCTTTTCAAGGTCAAGCTATACGGTCCTGGAACTCACTACCTACCTCTATCAGAAATTGTTCAAGTAAAGAAACTTTTAAACGTGCCGTCTTTAAATTTTATCTAGATAGTCTACAAAATTGAACATTCAGTTGATTGATTTTCCCCTTCTTGACATAATAATATATAATATATCATCTATGTTGGTATCTATATCTTTGTGTATTTGTTTGCGTGTATACTTAAATGTATGTTATAACTAATATATAAAATTCTTGTGTCACGGTTATTGTAATTGAATTCCTCCAAAACGGCTCGACCGATTTTCGTGAAATTTTGTGTGCATATCGGCCAGGGTAGAGAATCGGACAACATCTATTTTTTAAGGGTGGTCCACCCCAAAAATTTTTTTTCTATACTTCAAATTCCTTAGAAATAATTTATACGGCAAGACAACGTTTGCCGGGTCAGCTAGTTTTATATAAAATCATATTTTTCACTACTTCTCATCTGGCTCATTCGCACCTCCTTATTTTCTCCCTTTATTATCGGTTGTCAGGTACAGAACAACTAATGATGTTAAGTCCGCCATTGTCCATAATTACGATATTGTGCAAAAAGTTTTTGAATAAATAAGTAAAATAAAATGTTTGTGATGATTGTTGTGACTGTAATAACTATCATTGACGATGATAAATAATTTAATGTTGAGCAGAGTGTTCGGCGCTAAGGCGATGCGTCACGCCTTCCTCTTCGACAAAATGCTCCTGGTCACCAAGAATCGGGAGGACGGCATCCTCGCGTACAAATCTCATATAATGGTGAGTTTTTTATTCATTTATTTATTTTAAAAACATTGCCCATACTTTAGGATGTAAACGTACTTAAAAAACAGTATTATCCTGTTTTTTAAGGACGTTTACATACATACGATGGCAACTAATCAAATGTGAAATGGCTTTCCAAATTTCATTTTAGTTGCCGAAAGTTAAGCTCTTTGAATTTATCAGAATGATCATCTTAATGATCGGAATGATCAATTCAAAGAGTTTAACCATCCCTTTGGCAACTGAAATGACATTTAAAAAGCCACTTGACAGCTGATTAGTTGGCATCTACGATGATCGGTGTTTCAGAAACCGGGCGTTAGAAAACCGCCCAAGTGCGAGTTGGACTCGCCTACGAAGGGTTTCGTACAATTATCTATAAAAACGGAAAAAAATTCATGTCTGCTGGCACCCACTTAAATATTTTTGTTCTGTTTTTTAGTATTTGTTGTAATAGCGGCAAAAGAAATACATCATCAGTGAAAATTTCAACTGTCGAACTATCACGGTTCATGGAAAACACAGCCTTGTGACAGACGGACAGACATACAGCGGGGTCTTAGTAATAGGGTTCCGTTTACCTTTTGGATACGGAGTCCTAAAAACGAAAAGGCAGTCCCGACCTGCGGAGATCATCATTTTATAGTGCTGTGTTTTAGATATGTTGTTTTATTTGTTTGAAAGCTATAATTTGAGGGGTTTTCAACCGACTACAAAAAAGGAGGAGGTTCTCAATTCGGCCATATTTTTATTATTCACCGACGAAATACAGCTAGCGTTTTTGGCACCATGTCTGGTGGTGTAGGCCCGTTTGATAATATGTAATTTAGTTACATCTAATGTTGTCAGTAATTTCTCCTTTTTTTTATGTGAAAAGTTGCCAAACGAGCTGACGGTTCACCTGATGTTAAGTGAATACCGCCGCCCATGAACATCTGCTACACCCCAGGGTTTGCAGATGCGTTGACAACCTTTTTGGAAATTGGGCTCCGGCCACCTCACTCACCAGACGAAACGCGAAAGTATTTGTCATACTTCCACTTTACGCCGGTCTTCTGTGAGGTCGTGGCACTTACCCGGACGAGCCTGCCCATTCGTGCAACAGCCGAGGCTGCTGCGTGCCTCTACCACCGTTAAAAAAATAACTTAAAATTTACAACTTTGTGTTAGTGACGCATTGACTTCGGTTTCAGTGCAACAACATGATGCTGGTGGAGTCCATAGCCGGGGCGCCGCTCTCGTTCCACGTGATTCCCTGGGACGCGCCGCGTGCGCAGCTCACGTTGCAAGCCCGCTCGCCGCGGCACAAGCGAGAGTGGACCCTATTGCTGAAGCGGGTGAGTCCACAATCGACGCCACTGCCGCCGTTTCGCGAATGGTCAGGTCCGTCCGGGTAAGCGCCACGACCTCACAGAAAGAAGAAAGAGTAAGTGAAGGGGACGTGAATTTGTTGAAAGGTGGCAACGTTTCCGCAAAACCCACGGGTGTTGAAAATTTCAAAAATTTGCGACGGTTATCATTTAATATCGGGTACAATCGCTAGGTATCTTAACACTTTCTCGCATTGAAAAAGAAATTTGATCTCAAGTGAAATTGGAGTGTTGCGAAGGTTGTCGAGCTTATATTTAACGTTTACGATGGGAAAATCAAACTAAATTGGACCGTATTGCGCGACTAATTAAGTTCGTAATGTGATTGCGTCAACGGATAACGAATGGTTACTAATAGCGGCCTGGTACAAAATGATGCGAAATTGAACATCGTTGTCAAAGTGATTAGGTTCCATAGGAATTCTGGTGGAAGCAAAAATGATGGCTTAATTTGTACGTAGTACCTATATAGCCTCTTATTAATTTCTGCTCAGGCGATTAAGTTCATGATATTACCACAACATAGCAGTCTTAGACCTCAAGTCTTTTGGTGTTTTAAGGAAAATTGATGCAGTTATTTGATAACATTGATAGAGCTATTAATTTTTATTTAGTCCCACGTTTAGTAAATAATGACAAAAGGTCCAAACGCATCGGAAGATGTTCTGAGCTCAATTATTATATTATGACTGAAAACTTAAGGGACAGTCAATCAAAATTACTTTGAATTAACAATAACTTTATAATATTTCAGGTAATATTGGAGAACTATAATGCCGTCATTCCATCCCATGCAAGGCAGTTGGTGATGGAGTTGGGACAGAACAAAACTGACGGTAAGAAAGTATTTCTCAAACTTATCCAGACTAGAATTTTCATTTAAGTATCTGTGTAGTTTTTGAACCATTTATCATACCTTATGGTTTAGAATCGTTACATTTAAGGTCCAAAAATAACTTAAAGTATAACGAATATGTCAAATGAAAAAAAATTACGACTGGACAACAATAATTCTTATTAATGGATGATTAATTTTATTTTTCATTTCCGCAGATGACATGCTGGCCGAGAAATCGCATAACCTCATAACTCAAGCGTCGATGAGGAAGCAGCTTTCGGCCCCCGAGTACCTCGAAAAGAGGAAGCTAGAAAGAGAGAGAAGAAAATCATTCGAAAACGGAATACGTGGCCGTTTGAAAAAGGCGAATAGGAAATATACGCTGCCCAATTGCAGGAACGAGAGCGTTGATTGCGACTGCGTACAATATTCGGCCGAGAAAGGGACAGACTATACCTGCGACAACTGCTACATAGACCTCTGCTCCGATTGCGAGACAGAGCTATCGAGTAAATCAAAGGTTAGAGAGGGACAGTGCAGCTGTGCTGTCGATGACGCCGAGAATAAAGGAGATAAATGTCCGGAGTGCGACAGACTGTTGCATTACATAGACTCATGCAGCGCGGAGCATTTGGAGAGGAAACAGCTGCGATGCAAGTGCTCCGACTTCAAATCCTCCCAAGAGAGCTTCGGGAAGGAGTATCCCGGTTCGTCGCTAAACAAAACCAGGGGATACCACTCCTCCGACAATATCGTGGGCTACACGGACGCGAGAAAGAGCAAAGAGGACCTTAGCGACACGAACAATTCGCTATCCAGTGTACGTAACATCCCGAAGACCTGTTTAAAGTGCGCCAAAATCAAAGAGAACATACCGGTGACGGATTCCATTCAGACGCTGCACTCAAGGAGGTCTAGGTGCGTCGACGATAAACATAGGACCGACACGCTAAGGTCCAAGTCGAAAGACGACCCGCAGCGGTCGAAACTATCAAAAATTGGCACGTGGAGGAGGAAATCCGAACCGGGCCTCCAGCAAAACCCGATAGGGCTGATCTCGAAGAAGAGCCAAGACGGCGAAGAGAGGAACGACAGTAAGGGCTGCGAGAAGATAGAGTTCGAATGCCGCAATTGTGGCACGAACAAAATAACGCGCAAAACGAAAACCAGTGACGGATCGATTATATCCGATCCCGAGGTCGATACCAAGAAGAGGATCTCTAACGCCGCCCTGAAGACAAGCTTGGAGATAAAAATGTACAACACTAAAAACGTGCCAAAGAAAATCTCGAAGATCAAGAAGAACAGGGCGAAAGGCCTGCGACTCACATCGGACACGACCAGCCGCTTCTACGCGGACTTTTCCACAGACGTGTCGACCGAGAACATTCTTCATATATCCGAATCCAACGACAGCCTTAACGTGAACAAAGAGCAGAGCGCTAAAGAAGACGAAGAGAGAATCGAACAGCCCGGAACCATCACCAAAGACGAAGACATAGATGAGGAGACGTACAAAAAGTTAATAGAGAAAACGGACTCATTCAAAAAGAACGAATTGGAGAAAGTGAAGTATCTGCACAAACAGAAGGTTATAGACGAGCATTCCGAGGCGGAAGATCGAGTTGCTGACAAAGAACTGGCCAACGACGAAATAACAGAGAGCTGTGAAGAGACCGAGCAACCGTTGGAACAGATAATATCCCAGCTGCTACTAGAAAATCGCGAATTCCAGAAGCTTCTGAAGAAGCAGCAGCAACGAAACAGCGCCCAGAGGAGGCATCAGAGACTGTTGAAATCGCACTCCAACCCAGATCAAGTGATCATGGCGAGAAGCTTCGAATCGACCGGCCTCAAGCCCAAATACATTCGGCAGACTTCCGAGAATTTGGAACTGACCGCGGACAGGGTTGAAGAACAGGATAACATACCGGACCCCAAACACGAGGAGATTATGTCGGACGATGATCACATCTACGAGACTTTAAGAATGGAAAACAGAGTCGACGAGCGATTGCACTCACTGGACAGCAAGAGCAAGGCGATCCAGCACAGCGTGCATGCCACACGGCCCAGACGCCTATCATCGCCTACAAATGCGCTGTCCGAAATGCGAAACATAACGGAGTCCGACTACGTCTACCTATCCTTCAACGGTCAGGATGACGACGGGATATACGACGTGCCCGTCAAATCGCCGAGGGCGAAAGCCGACGACAGTTACGTGACGATGGAGAAGAGGGGCCCGCCCGCGGAGAACCTTTACGACCTGATAGACGTGTGCAGGAGGAGCAAGGAGGCTGGAGAATATCTGCCGATGAGCCCAGAGCAGAGCCCGAACGCGCCTGAAATATGGCTCAGCAGGCAGAAGGAGCACTTCAACGTGTCGAGGGATAGGAAGTCCGGCTCGCTGCCGAGGAGCTTTCAGGTGGTCACCGGTGGGCAGGAAGACCTGGGCACGTTCAAGTTCAAGCCTAACGGCAACGGCAAGACCTATCTGAATAGAGACGGCAAGGTGATGAGCACGGACAGGCCGTTCACCATAGCCTCGGACCAGAGCGAGCTGAGCTACGACGACGTGGAGAGCTACATCGGCGAGGGCGACATGTTCAAGTTCAACAAGAGCCCGAACCCCAACGAGGCGGACTACCCGCAAATCAGCCAGTCCACCCTGGAGCTCGAGGAGGAGATAGACAGATGCTACAAGAACAATTTCGGCAAGATCGACGGCGACGCGAGCAAGAACGATACCGCTCTAACGGCTCAGGACCCCAACTTGAATATGTCAACTACGTCGTCCTGCGAAGTCTTACCCATAGAGAGGGAGGACGATAAGAAAGATTCAGAAGTTATCCACCCGGAGCATAAAATATACAAGCCCACTAGCAACGTGCTGTCCCTAAAGAACGTTTTGAGCCGTTTTAAAAATCGAACACCGAACAAAAGCAGCGAGGAGTCCGAAATCGTGAACGAACAAACACTAGATAACTCGAATAAAAGTCCACCCAATGAAAAGAGATCTGCCCTCAACCCCAGAAGCTACTCCAAAAATCTCCTGCAAAGGTTCAGAAGCATAATCGGTGACGAACCTGACGACCATGCGAAATCCGAGACGAAAGCTAAAGCCGCCGATGATTTGCAAAATGGTACCCTAAAGACTGACATTAAGGTTGTCATTTCCACGACGGACCTCAGTCCGTCATCGACTGTGGTAGGCGCGATGCACGATGTATTAAGCAAAAGCGTTCACGAAAGTACAACATTGAGCGCGAGCCAGACGGAGAAGAACAATCTAGAAACGCTCTCGCACAGCTGCGACAACCTTGCACAGAAAAGCGACAAGCCGCGGCCTAACTACAGTAAAAGCGTAAGCATGGTGACCAGCACGCCGAACTCGGTGAATTCCTCGCCGTTGAAATCCAACAACGGCTCTTACCAGAGTCTAAACAAACTGCCGATCTACATGCAAGGCAGCAAGTATTTGGGGGCGAGGATAGCCCAATCCGACTACGTGGACCCAACGACGCTGGTGAACGAGAAGAACGCCCTTAAAAATGTCAACGTGTTGATAAACAAAAACGCCGTCAGACCGGACAGTTTGTTTTCCAACTCGTCCTTCGTCACCTCGTCCAGCGAGAGCACTTACCACGAGCCGCAAAGCAAGCAAAATCCTTGCAGCACCGGTACTGGTGAAGCGAAAGGTAACATGGAGTCGTCCGCGCAAGTCAACTCCGACGAGAGTTTCTACGAGAAATCGTTCGAGAGGATCGAGCATTTCACTGACCAGGACGTCTTCAGAGACTCCGCTGTTTACTCCGATCAAGAGGACTTGGACGAAACTAGAACATATTCAAGTGACAAGGATAGAATAGTTAATAAGACCGTCAAACGTATCGAAAGCCTGAAGTGTAACGAGTCCATCCAATCTAAAGTTAGATCTAAAGTTATCGTGACAACCAGCACAAGCGAAGAAACGCGTACAAGCTCCAAAGTGACGATAAAGACGAATAAAGTGAAGGAAACGATCCGACATGACGACATGAGAAGCGATGTGAAACAAGCCACGAAACCCAAAATAGCTCCTCCAGTGCCTGTCAAACCAAAAATGGCGGGAGCAATGACAACGCACAATAAAGCGTCTGTTAAGCAAAGTACAGCTACTCAAGAACAAACGACCACCGAAACGATTAATGTACAGACGATGAGACTGAATGTGAATAGCAAGCCTTTCCTAGCGCGCTCAGAATCCAGCCCATTAGCGGAGAATCCCAAAAGGAACGTCAAAGAGACAGTTGCAGTTAAAGAGGAAGCAACAGACGCGGCTAACCAAGGAGAAGAAGATACGAAATCCAGCAACAAGTTCAACCAACATGGCAATATACAGCTGAAACGGATGAGTTTCGAAAGGGCCAGCCTGGATTCGGCTACGCGGAAGACCAAAGTGCACACCGAAAAGCGTCCCTCGATCGAAACTCCGAAAATCGCCGCGAAGACAGTACTAGAGAGGCGAATGGAGCTCGAGATGATGTCTAACAGCCAAGCTAAAACTAAGCCTGGGGTAAAAAAGCCGGTGTGCAGCGCCAAACCAAAATCTATAACAACTAAGGTGGCTTCGTTCGAAAAGGGCGGAGGCGAAATCGGCAAAGAATCGAGGTCCCACATTCCGAGCGGCAGCGCGGATAGAGTGAACGTTACGTCAAACAGAAATAGTATTAACGTTCAAACTGAAATCGCTGAAGACCTTAAAGGCAGTTGGGTCAAGCAGGTCGTGAACAAATTCCAATGATAGACTTTCAAGTGATAAGTAAATGCATTTAAGAAATGGATCCGTCTGATTTTTCTACTCCGGTTTTTAGCTCCCCCTTTTTTAATTGACCCCTCGATATATCGTTTTATTAATCGCCATCTTACATAGAGCTGGGTTGCTACTGTATATGGGATTTTCGATTGTAAATAGGTGTTTTAATATCAAACCTTCCCCGGGCTTTGATGTCTTGTGCCATAGACAAGTCGGGTTGTATTCTGGCAATATTACGCGCGTTACTGCGAAAAAGGTATACACGAGCACAATGTATATAGTTGTTAATATGCTTATTTTGCTACGTATTTATTCAAAAGTGCCATGGCGAGTTTACAGCAATATATTTACAAAAAAAAAAGAATCAAATATATTTTCGTGCAATTAAGGATTGATCTACTTAAAGTATTTATTTTTTTAAGAGTTAAGTTTGTTATAAACAGTTACTAACACCAAAAAGTAGATTTTTGTTTTAGTATTATTTTACTAATTTTATGAATTACGTTGCTCTATATATTTCTTGTGGAGTTAATACTAAAAAGGATTGTTATAAAATCAACCATAGATATGACCAAATGTTGCATTTTTTTAATCTGTTGTACTCTGTGACATTTTATAATCTGTTCAATTATTCAGGCATATTTAAATTTTGCGAAGCGCATCGTTTCACTTAATAATGCTTTTAAATAAACGATAGTACATTCCCAGCATTTTCATAAAACAATTAATCAACCGTATTTACTCTTATTATGAATCGGCAACATTTTCCAGTAAAAATATAGGTGAAACTTAATTTTAAGGTTAACCTATACAAGACAAGTATACTTAATTTGTGGAGACTGTTAGGATCTTAAGGTTAACACGATCTTTGCGTAAATGTAATTTTTGTAGTGAAATAAACTAACGTTTTTACAATTTAATAGTGAATGTAAGCACTTTAAAATTAAAACTAATTATACAAATGAAGAATACTGCCTGCACGCACCTGTTACGTCCAAAAATATCAATAAACTGTGGTTGTGTACGTTTATAATCAATTGCGATGTATCGAATATTAATTGAATATTATATCATAATAACTACGAACTTAATGGTTAGATGCAATTTTGCATTTCCGTGTTTCGTTACATTATTTTGTAATATTATAAGTATTACTTACAAATATTGCTGATATCGAAGTAGGATTTGATATTAATAAAAACATTTTCTTACCTTTTTGTTTCATTATTTTTATCAAAATTCAGAAACAATTCCAAAAATATAAGTAGTCCCAAATAAAGAAAAGCTTGCGCTATGGACCAGTGCCTAGTGCTAACCCATAAACGCGGAAAAAAGGAAATTATGAGAGTAAAATTTTTACAATGCGCGCGCACAACGACACGAAAACTGCGACATGATGAAGTTGGTTGCAAAGCGACCAACTTGCACCCACTTCACAGTAGGTTACTAAAAAAATTATCACGAAAACAATTAGTTCATAAAAACAGTTAATTAACGAGAATTAATCATTTACGTTAAACACAAGATTCACGAAACTTATCAATTTCGTGGAAACAATTAATTTATGAAAATAAAAAGTTTCGTAATAAAATGCCGATAAACATTGGTATGTTTATGACATAAAGACGAAACTTAAAGGCTGAGATAAATTGTCGATACGTTTTCCGCACTGCTAGGACTCGAACCTGCATTTTCTAGGTAATACGCCCAGACGCACTAGTTAATTGAGCTAGGCGCCCGACGTCATCACAGAGCGAAAATCTCATTGAGAAAGCATCCAATTTCTTCGCAACTCCATTTAACGCAACGAAATTTTAACAATATGGTCAGCCTAATTGAGTTTGTAGGCAGTGATGTCGGAGTCGACCGTTTTTTTAATTTGATTTAGGCTTATTTCTTATGGACTCTGCGTAAAAATGTCATCGAAATATTCTTTTTTCATTTCCTTTCAAATAATTTAATTCATAAAAAAATCGTAAACGTTGCTAAAGATTATGTGCATAAGCACTGGTTGCTGCATTCTCAGTCTCCTCAGGCTTCGTGTCACAAATAGCAGTAATGCATGAAACTAGACATAGGTACATATATGTATAAAAAGAAAACTAACCAAATATGTCAAGAAGGGACGAGCTAAAGTCACGCGATCTCCGTTACCGGTACTGGCTTACACCGATTGATGGATACAGAATATATTTGAAAAAGATAACTTCTTTATACGTTGAACTATTTATTATTGTTACGTATTATATATTAACTCCAACGTATCAATTAATGATGACTTGTAATACATAACAAATAACATATTAGCATGAGCGAGGACTTAAGGCCTCAAGTTTTACAAGGGTTTCGAAATACCCATACTCAGCGTGTTTTTTTGATGTATCAACTTATGTAATACAAATATGGCGATAGGTAGGTAGGAGTCAAATTTAAAGAAGAAATGTAAAAACGAATTTCCAATCATTTATCCTTCATGTCTAACGAAAGCAACATCGTTAAAACAATTGGAGCCAGAATCGTTTTTTCACTCTTTGCTCGGGATGACTATGTTTAACGCGATTACCCGGCCATTGAGCTACAAAATAAAAACAAAAAGCGTAAAAATACAGCATAATAAAATTAAATTGTTTCACCATTTTATACTCGTATGATAGAAAAATGAAAAATCTTAAATATAAAATATTAATAATTAAATAAGATATTTAGTTTGAAATATGTTTCTTCTCTCGCAAACATTGTTCCTAAACGTGAGACGTCCTAGAAATTTTACTCTCATGTCACGTCCGGTTATCGAATCGCCGCCCATATAAATATTAAAAAAAGGATACTATAAAATTTTAACCTTGTACCTTACATATTTTCGAAGTACATAATATGGAAAATAATTCCGTAATACTTAGTTTAGAAAGTTTTATATGGTATTTAATAATAAATTTTCCAAGTAGACAATTAACAGTCTAGGCTAATGAGTAGTCTATAATTATCCATGCAATTTCGAGCCAGACGTGATGCGCAGTTTACAAGCGGTGCGCCTCGCGTGATCTGTAACGTATTTTCCCTCCAAAATGTAATGGCCGACGTGTACAAACGTCACGCAAGACACTGCCTGTCTCTTAGTCTAAGAGCTACCTATAAACTTTTACTGTTTCTTTTATTTCTTATTAGAAAAGAGTGAGGGTTATGAATTTTGGTTGTTTTCGGTATGTTGTAATGTTGCACGAAAGTTGTCCGCTTTTCCGATTCATCAGCCTCGCGTTTGTGTCCAGGTTACAGCTATAAGAAATATTCGAAAGGGGTAGAGTAGAACTTGCTGTTGTTTTTTAATTATTTACTTTTTAACATCGTCACTAAAATAGCTAAGACTTACTAGATCTACACCTGCACTTTAGGTACATGAAAGCATTGTTAAGTTAGTAAAGCATTATAAAGTACTTAATAAATTAGTGTTTTGTTTTTTCTAAATATTTATTTTAAATTAAAATTTGGGTTAAAAAACTAAAGTCTTAAGCGTGACACTCAACCGGTGGTGAAAACGATACTACCACTTAAATTTTTCTTCTTATCATTATTTACTTCTCCGGTGTGGGGATCGAACCCAAAACACGGCGAGCCGTTTCTTATTTTTCAATGTCTTATATAGCTGTTTCCAAGATGACTATTAAGTACTCCAAAGTGACCGCCTCAACCATTGCATCATGCGATAGTCAAATATCAATGGTATAACGTTAAAATGATACGAGAATAAATTATCGCCGGTTAAGTTCAAAAAAGCGTTAAAATATCTGGCTCTAGGACTACATCATCCCGATGAAAATTTCCTTTAGAGCGAAACTGATACATCGATTTCCCCCTTTGCGTGAAAGGGACGAAAACAGGAAACGGACAAACTTGTAACGAAAAAGTTATTCCTTTTCAGACATCGCCTGTCGATTGTCGCGCAGGATATGGAACCATGCGGATATTTTAAAGATTAAAAATAATTTCAAACTTTGATCGACATTTTAAAGACTCGAAGTTTCAAGTAGAAAAGTCTTGCATGTTGTTATAGAGATAGGTATGGGTTCAACAAGTTACATAACAAAGCCAAAGCCGGCCGGCTACAGAGTAAAAAGTGGCTCCAGTGTTGGCTCTGACAAGGAGATGAATGGCAAGCTGAAGCGGTCTAAGATAAGGCGAGTACAGATTATAAAACTTAACAGTAATACATGTGAAAATAATTTAAAAATGTATGTGTACAAAGTGTGTGATTTTACGTTTGTTTGATATTAAACATTTTGTTTCTAAATAACAATAAATTTTACTTAGTTATCACGTAGCTAGTTAATCAGGTTAGCGTTGAAAACATATCAAAGAAAAGTATGAAGGTTCTCTCTTGACTAACATGTTTTCTTTGAAATTCGTTAACTTTATTATATATAGCCTTCCGTTAGTTGAGAACTTGACTAGAAAGTGACTAATAATATAATGCTATATAAATACTTTTTATAGATATATGCTTTCTAATCCAGATTCTGTGTTTATGGATTTCATACAGTTTTCATGAGAAATTTAAAAGTGTTTGGAACTATTTCTTTCACTTAGAAGATGAAATAGATAGAAATAAAAATATGAAGATTAGATAGAAATATGATTAGAAATTAAAAACATCTAATTTAAGTGGAAAAAAAATAGTGATAACTTTAATGACAGCCGATACGTTTGATAACAATAATTTAGGACATTTCTTTATTCATACGGATTATAGCTTGAGTTCACCCCATCCATCTCATCGTATTTTTTTATTTACACATCATATTGTATTCAAAGTATTCCATTGTCAACATATTCCTCATCTGGGAAACACTTCTTCAATCTTAATTTCTGTTTATCTTCTTGTGGGGATAGGATATGATTTTATTCAATATTTTGCTATACATATTATTTTCGAGTTATTTTTCAAAAAGTAAAATTTGCAATAAAATAACCGGTATAAACGTTAAATGTTAATTTTAAAAGTTGAAATGGATTTACGTAGACATGAATAACAACGTGGCGAATATATACCTATAAATCATTATAAAATTTTGCTATTTTACGAATTTTGTCGCGATTAATTCACAAAATGATCGTTGATGCTGCAAGGTATTCGAAAGGTCGACAATTGTTCTATAAAATATAATAAATTAAGCAAATGCACATTTGTGTTATTAACCTATTGTTAAATTACTTACTGTAGTCGTTGATTTATTCTAAAATTCATGGAAATGGAATAGAAAAATAGAGAGTTTCTATAATTTTTTTATGTTTTCATTTCCTATTTTAAAATATAACTATTTCGGCACCAAGCATTATTCAACACAGTATTCTTAACAGATTTTTTTTTGTGTTCAAAGCAGTATAATTCTGCTTTGTAACAGTGACAGTTGACGTGGTCCTCTGCTGTCGATGTAGAGGTCGGAGGTTTGAATTCTAAGCGTATCTCCGATAACATTTAAGTTTTTCAGATCCCATAGATTAATATCACTATTTAGTTTTTTACAAGTGCAAGAAGACAGGTTGGCTATCCCAATTTTGTTCAGAAGCTTTGAAAGTATTTTTACATCGTAAACAATACTAGGCTAATTTATTTTAAAGTGTTTTGTTAATCTCATAGATACGGAGTAATTTAACCATGGGATAAGTGAAAAGGATACAAAAATAAGAAGTTAGGTTTTCCCAAGGCTCAAAGTCAATATCATGCAGCTAATTTCAAATACCTATCGCTAGCAAAATATTGAAGTTAATTCTATCTGTAGATAGAATATTGAAACAACCCGTAAGAGATACATGTGATTACAAAATTACGGAACGGTTATATTATCGAATAATAATTGTTTAGATTTCAATATTCACTCAGTACGAGATATTTTACACACTAAATTAAATTGTATTAAGTAATTCATAAATAACCTAACAATATGTAAATAACCTGCAACTAAATTAATAGTAACAAATGAATTTGGAGAAATTACCACGCATAACTATCTATCACTAACTAGGCAAAATAACTGTGCTCTCAATAAAAATCTCGATGAAACATTGACATATCTCTCCCTATCTACAACGAGGTCCTTAGTTTAAATTTATGGATAAAATAACTTTTTTAATAGGTATAAAAAGAACCGAGCGTGCATTCATTTTTTCGAATGGAAGCTACGGAAAAATAAAGAAAATAACGATTATTTAAAAATGCCTACTAATAGAAAAAAAAAACGATAAGGCATAACATAAAGATAAATGGCGCAATTGCTGCGCTTTACTACTTCCGGTTAAATGTTTCCGTCGCATTCAGGAAATAAGTAGTAAATAGTTTTAAGAAATGTTAAATGTCGAGTTTAAATAAATAAAAGAAATAATTATTTCGGGACATATTTTTACAACGTTTTCTAGTCCCAAACTAAGCAATGCTTGTACTAGGGGTACTAGATAACTGATAAATATACTAAAACATACTTTTCTTTTTGTAAAATAAACATATCAAAACTTGTAAAAATAAATATATATTATTAATATATAAACACCTAGACACTGGAAAACACTATGTTCATCACACAATATTCTACCAGTAGTGGGTATCGAACCCACATCGTGTGGTGCAAGAGGCAGGGTCTCTTCCTACTACGCCAATCGGGTCGTCAATCGTCATCAATGTTAAATATATCCACTAAATCTTTAACCATTGATCATATTAGCAAGACAGAACTGTGCCCATTATTATGCACAGAACTAAAATAGTAATGAAGAAATATAAATAGATCTGCCTAAATTTTTGAGTCGTGCATAACTGGTTTATTGAACCTATTGGACATACTATTTTGCTATGTAGTATTAGATACTATTTTGCTATGTAGTATTATTATACTACATAGCAAAATAGTATGTCCATAATATCACTTCACATAACTGATAGCATGTTAGTACACACTATGAGGTCATCCATGAGTCCCACTTCAGCTATTTATTTACCGTAGCAACGGTTGCCATGGCTACCGCGCAATCGATAGTCCGCACGGAATCAACTACACCCCATTTCACACAAACCAGCGCAATGCACCAACTCGTCCCTAAATTTTGACACTTCTTTTGTTTTCTTTTTAAATTTAATTTCGCCATTCGATACCGCGATGTGACCCAATCGGAGCGATGACGACAAGCTACCCATTCTTCCCGTTCAGGCGTCCGAGTAGGATGAACGAATATGGTGTTAAGAGGATACCGGACTATACGGAGTTGGCGTACAAGGAGGCAGTGTCGAAACTGAGGTACTTCTTGTCCGGGAACAGCGCGCCTAGTGTGAGTACTCACAATTTACTAAACTATCACATTCTATCCAAGTACAGGGCCTTGATATATCGTAAGAACCAAAACGATGTAATTCCATAATATGTTTTGTAACAAAGTTATTTATTAAGTTATTATAAGTTAATATTAATTATAACGTATTGTCGATCGATTATTAGTAATCAAATCTATAAGGCAATAAGAAATTCGTGCCAATTTATTTAACTTCTAGGCCAAATCAATTGGGGCATAAATTTGACCGCGATAAAAATATATTCGCGCATTTTTTGAGTAAATAATAAAAAATATTTCGAAGATATGTAAAGTCCGCCGCAGTAGGGTCGCGCGGTGGACTATGGCAAACACCCTCTATACAGTCCTCTGTGTTTGGCATTTGCCCAGCCATATGTATGCTTTCACTTTACTTTTTTTTATTTTTAAACACAGATTCGCAGTTACGGTGGCTCGTCCGTCAAGAATTCGGAGGAGCACGATGGACAGCTGAACAAGAAGTACACTTCGCCCTATATAGCATTCAACCCCACCACAACTCGCCCGCGTCTAACTGCCAAGTACACAACTTTATACGCAGACAGCTTGGGGAACTATGCACCGCCGAAAGTCAGCAATGGTATACGGCCTGTTTCAATATTCTATCTACAGATCAATTTGGTTACTAGCGATAGGTATTTGACGTTAGCTCCATAATACATAATACTCTAAATTCTATCTCCAATAACCAAATTTATTTGTAGATACAATATTGAAACCAGTTTTAAATAGTTTATCTTCTGTTTACCTTATCGTTACGACCAAGTTCCTTTCTTGGTCAGATGGTGTAAGGATATATAAAGGAGTAAATTTTCTGATTAATACCTCCCATGGACATCCCAGAATCCGTGGGTTCCATTACCAACGTGTTTTTCGCTAGATGAACGATGACTATCCTCTACAGACTCGTGGTTCGTACTGTTTTTTGATTGGCATTTTTTTGTGACTTCAAAATGTTTAAGACAATTTCAAATGCATCAATGAAACGAGTTACAGCTATGACAGGGAGAGGTTCTTATTAGAGATCGGCGTGTTTTTTTATTTTCCTTAAAAGCACCTTTTGTACAGCAGCGTCTCAACCGGCGGTGGCACCAGCGGCCGACCTGTCCGGCGGCACCAACCCGGACGTCATCAACTTCATCCAGAAGCAGGAAGAGTACATAGAGCAGCTGGAACGGGAGAGCCAGTACTGCAGGGTACGTGCGATGTCACGACCCTAACAAGACACCAATCTTAACGGATTATGCCCTCACGGAAAACTTCAAATGCTGGGGATTCGAATTCTCTTTAAATAATAAGTTCAACGTCCGTCACGAGGAGGGTTGACGTCAGACAGGCGGTCGGTCGTAAATAAAAAATAGTCAGAATCATTTACAACATGTTATGCTCACCCCGCTTAGGTGGAATAAGGGTAGGAGGATGATGCTGAAATAAGTTATAGGATGACGTCTCAGCTATTAGATTATCACTACAGCTCTGTCTGCCAGTATATATTTATACTTATACTTACTTTATACTTATGTATAAAGTTATAATAAGGTAAATAAAATAACACCATATTAGCTATTAAATTTACAAATATTAAAAGAGTAGTTCTTTAAAAAAGAACGATTAAAATGGTTTTTGTGAGGTAAAGGAGCAGGCGGGTAAATTAATGGTATATAATTATTGCAATTCCGCAACAACACCAAATGCGTTGACAGCCTTTCTTGTGTGTCTTAAGACGTATGCTTTCAGTCTGGAAACTATCGTAGATTTCGTAGAAAGTGACTTTCCATAAGCATGCCTTGCCTTTGAAGTAGGTAGTCCTTTTCTTGAGGGTCCACGTCGTATCGGTCCGAAAATAACGTCATCACAAAATGTTGCGTGGCACTGTTAGTGCAGAAGGTACGACCTTGACATAATTATGCTAGTTTTAGGAATAATTTTAATGCTGAAATAAAATACGTATATTTTACTTAAAAAATATTCTTATTCATAGATTTAATGACGAAGAAACTGTGATGAAATGGTATAAAACTTTTAAATAAAAAATGAAGAAAAATAATCAGTATCTTTATCTCATGTATTGTGCGTCCTTTTTGATATGGTCCTTTGTAATAAGTCTATAACATACAACACACATAAGCAGCTGGTTTTATCCAAAGATAATTTTGCCGTCTATCTATAGTCCTCGGTAGGCCAGTACTCGCTTGATTCTAGCAGGACGAGCTCAACAACCTCTTGGGCAAAGTGAAGGAGGTGATATCTGAGAACGAGAACCTCCACGAGGCGCAGAAGAACAAGATCATATCGCGAATGTTCAGCTACGGGGCGGGCTCAGAGACGGACGAGCTGGACGACGTTGGCGACAGCACCGGCCTCGATAGCGACAAGGTACACTCGCGTGCATAAAGTAGATTTCCCTGTGGTAGATCCATGCAATAGACTCGACAGCGACAAGGTACAATCTCGTGCATAGAGTAGATCTTACTGTGGTAGATCCATGCGATTGACTCGACAGCGTCAAGGCACACTAGCATGCATAGAGTAAATTTCACTGTGGTAGATTCATGCAATAGACTCGACAGTGACAAGGTACATTCGTGTGCATAAAGTAGATCTCACTGTGGTAGTTCCATGCAATAGAATCGACAGTGACATGGTACAATCGCATGCATAGAGCAAATCTCACTGTGCTAGATCCATGCAATAGTCTCTACAGCGATAAGGTACACTCACGTGCATAGAGCAGATCTCACCGTGGTAGATCCATGCAATAGACTCAACAGCGACAAGGTGCACTATATAATCAAAGTAGATCTCAACGTGGTAGATGTTTGCAACATACAGACTGTACAGGCCGCGCAAAACTTACAGCAGTGAAAGTAAGCTTCGTGAGGAAAGATGCAAATTTTCGGAGTAGTAATAAAAAATATTATTGAAATAATAATAAAAAAAAATCGGATATATGTGTAGTCTGCCAATCTGCAATGGGGCCACGTGGTAGGCTACGCCCTAATACCCTCTGGACAGAGGAGCCACCTTTATCTAGTAGTGGAACGTTTATAGGCTATTACTTAAATTTTTTATTATTGCAATATTATCATTAACATATTAATTTATCGCAATCCAATGTACAGAATACAACAAGTTACACTTAATAACCTAAACTCATAGACGTCAATTAGCTCTTACCATTAAAATGCATTAATTGGCAATATAAGTGTCAAAGACCTAATATTCACCTATCTATGAATCACACCTCATTCACCTATCATTAAATCAATAAAAAACATTATACACACTACCGTGTATTTGACACACACACACATATAAACATATGGTCAAATTGAGAAGAGATTAATATTGTTCAAACTCATAATTTAAATTAATTATGGTCATGACGATCAGTAGCCCATATAAATTAACGATTCTTTTAATGTATCTCGATTATTTGTGTTACATTGGATCATCATCATCATTTCAACCTGTTTGAGTCCACTGCTGTACATAGGCCTCCCCCATAGACTGCCATGAAGTAAGATCCTGAGCCACCTGCATCCATCGACTTCCCGCACATTTGCACTATTAGGGTATTTACTTGTAAATTCATTATAATATATCGCAAGATGTTTCTTATTCCTCTGCTCAGGGCACTCCTGCACGGACCCGACGACCCAGGTCCCGCACGACGAAGCTCGAAGGCCCCAACATTGTCTTTGAGTCCAGGATTGCCGAGTTGGAAGCTCAGCTGACCCAAGCAAAGATAGACCTGAAGAAGGTCCAGGTAAATTGACATAACCATTGAATTAACCTTGTGATTGTATTATATTCATCTAATTAAACATCTGACGATAATAGATTTAGATCTTATTTCTATATTCTTCATCCCTACTGTAGTCTAAGCACAGTTTTTAGAGACATTTTAAATCTTACTTTTTCATCTTATATTACTTCAAAGGAAATAGGAGAGAATATAATAGACAGAACAAACAGACACCCAGAACTTTTTTGATACTTAGTAAAATTTTTGGAAAATACGCTTTTATCGGATATCATTAAATGTACTTATATTCGATATAAATATTAGACTTAACCGTTTCCTTTTAGCAGGCCAATAAAAAGTTATAAAAATCAGTAAATTTTATAAACCAAACTCGGCTTGCACGGGCGGCCTCATACAAGACCGGCGTGAATTAGAAGTGAATTAGAAGTGTTCATACTTTTGCGGTTTGCCTTGTGTGTGGTAACTGTTACCTTGTAATTTGTTAATTTTCATGGGCGGTGGTAATCACTTAAAATCTGGACTGCCTGTTTGCGCCTCCTTCTCACATTAAATTAATATTTCAAGACATGTATTCGCACAATGTTATGTAGTAAAACTAAGTAAAGCAACTATTGGCGCTAGTTAACTAATAAATATACTTTTCTTTCCCAAATAATACTTATTATACGATGTATAAACACACCCTAAGACGTTCATCATATGACATTTTCCCCGTAGTAGGAATCGATCCCACGCCCTTCGGCACAAGAGACATTTTCACTATCAAATCAACTTCACATAATACTTCACATTCAAGGATGAGAACAACGAGAATAAACGTAAGCTCGCTTCCGGCCTCGTCGACTCGACTTGCCTCGACGGCTTTAAGAGGCAGATTGAGAATTTGCAGAGGTGAGTTAAGCATTCATAAGCATTCTTCTCTATTGCAAAAAATATCGTTCGTATTAATATAATTCGTATCGTCTAATTGTTTCCAAACTCTTCGGTATAACCTCAATTCAGCACTTAAAGTTGACAATTTAATTGGTGCCGGGGATCGAACTCAGGTTGCTCGAGCATATTAAATTAATGGCGAGCGACCCGGACACTGAGCTATCACGGTATTTTAGTATTGACAAATACTAATCTATTAATAGTAGATAATAGTAAAACGATTAGCCCAAGTGTAATTGTGCCAAGAACGAAAGATAATTTGCGTCGCTGAATAATTAACTTTTATTTTCTTAACTTTTTTTTCGAGAGAAGAACCATTCCTTATGTCCGAAATAAAGATTCCAAGACATAACCCTTTTAAAACTTTTATTGCACAGGGATCCCACCAACCTAAGGTTTAGTTTGTAATATAAATTGTATATGTATACGGCACTTTCCGAAAGTACCCGTGCCTACGAAACATGATTGATATATATTCAATTTTACTTCTAATATACCTCGATTTCGGTTACAGTGTATATTATTAGACAGTGTGTAGTATTCCAATCGTCATTATGCTCTTTGTAATGATTTATATTCCAGAGACAAGTCCTCGTTGGAAGCGCATATTTCCAAGTTGAAAATGAACCTGGAACAGAAGGATGGTGAAGAAGGTCGCTACAAGCGCGGATCTGACGCGGTGGAAATTCAGCTTAGAGAGGAGAGGAACAACTTGGAGTCGGAGATTAGGCGGCTGAAGGTTGGAAACTTCTCGAAAATACACTTAATTGCAGCGTCGTAGCTTTTGTTTAGTAGATAAATGATAAACATACTTAAACATATTTTTTTTGTATATAAATACCATAAATAAATATATAAACACTCAAAGACTGGAAAAACTATGTTTATCGCTCAATATGTTTCCAGGGGGGTTACGCGAGAGGGTGTGGGGTTCGAACCCACACCCTCTCGCGTAAGTTGTAGGGTCACTGCCCATTAGGCCAATCCAATCGGGTTGTCTGGACAGTTTTTACATCTTCGCCCAACTTTGGGATAGGCTGTTACTTTACTTAGCTTTAATTTAATTTAATTTCGTTGGATTAGAAAACATACAGCAATTACATAAAATAAATTGTACAATAACACTCAGATATGTGGGCACTTTGCATCAGAAGTATACAATCATAATGTCTCATTTTAATGCGTTACTTGCATTTATAAAAATACATTGTTAAAGAATAGAAAAAAACATAGTGCGTGGAGTCTGTCCACGCGGGAGGCGTGTAACTTCGAGTGCCACGCATTCACTCACTCTCGCTCTGTCTCTCTCTATTCCCCCTCCCCAGGAGCATTGAACGTTTATCGCAACAGTGCTTTCATACCCCCTCCATGGTAGCGTTAAACGTTTAACGCAACCTTTTTGGTATACGGCGGTAGGGCCACGCAGCTGCCTCGGCTGTTGCACGAATGGGCAGGCCCGTCCGGGTAAGTACCACGACCTCACAGAAGACCGGCATCAAGTGGAAGTATAATACTGTCGCGTTTGGTCTGACGAGTGAGGTGGCCGGAGCCCAATATTCAAAAGGTTGTCAACGCATCTGCAACCCTCGGGTGTAGCAGATGTCTATGGGCGGCGGTATTCACTTAACAACAGCTGAACCGTCTGCTCGCTTGACAACTTTTCACATTAGAAGTGCCTATAAGATAATATAATATGATAGAGTATGAGTCGCATTAGAAGTTTCGCTTCAAAAACAATTTAGGAGGACTTGGCCAAAGAGCGGAGCAAAGTCCGCGAGCTGGCCGGGGAAGGGGCGAGGCGCGCCATGCAAGAGCGCAGCTCCGCCGAGCAGCGTTACAACGCGCACTTCGACGAGCTCCAGCACGACCTGGCAGCGCAGTACGACAACGTGGCCAAGCTGCAGGTACGGAGCGGGCGAGTTCCCGCTCAGACGGGGATCCGATCTCAATATCAGATTAATAGATTTATTAAATCCTTCAGTTCATTAAATAAGGTATATGTCAGTTTCAATATATATGTCTTATCTATGTTAAATAAGGACACAGATGTAGATATTATTGACAACAATATTTCAAAATTCAGACAATAAAACTTTTCTTCACTGCCAATAATCTAGTTATCATTTCTTAATATCGTCACCATCGCAATACGTCATCTATTTTAACTGTATTTTTAGTTTAATGTTTATATTATTGTAATGTTTGTATTTCAGATTTAGTTTATTAACAATTTTTGGTTGTGTCTCTACTGTGTGTTTTAAATTAGTTTTTGCCTATAATTAATGTACCACTCATCACTTTTTTGTTAACTTGTATATTAATTATTCTGGTTCGATGTGAATAAACAGCATGATTCACATGCTGCGCGGGCCCCACCTTGGTGGGATGAGAGCAGGGGATAGAAGACGATATTCGTCTTCTACCTCCTGCAAAATGCCTGATTTTTATTCTTGAAAACATTTACTGATACCCGTCTAAACTTTAATCTTCTTTGCTATTCTAACCTTTATGCTAATGCTCGGTATTTAATACAGCTGGACCTGGATCGACAACGCCGCGAAGAGAGCGATTTAAAGCGTGAACTGTCAATGAAGAACGCTAACATAGAAGAGCTCAAGATGGAACTAAAGAACAAAACCGGTACAGTACAGTTTATACTTTTGAGACACATGCTTTTGCTGATCAATCTAAACAAAATATTGAGGTAGGGCCACGCAACAGTCTTATTTGTTGCACGATTGGGCAGATCCGTCACAGAAGACCAGCGTGAAGAATGTTATGCTTTTGCGTTTGGAGTCTGGTGAGAGAGCTGGGGTTCACTTTATTAAAAGGTCAGGCTCGTCAGGAGAAGTATCTCGCCCGTGTAGAAGACCAAAGTGAAGTGAATTATGTAACTTTTACGTTTCGATTGAAATCTGAGTAAACGGAGGCCCAATTTTTAAAGGTAGTTTGGCTCATCTAAAAAACACTACTTATAAAGTGGTTTATCTGGGAAGCTGCTTCGGTATTAAAACATAGGTACTCATATAAAAAGAGACAATTCAGATCAGAAATACTCTCAACAGATCAGAATAACTCACCAACAGATTCTAAACTATTGCAAATCTCGTTTATGCTTACACGAATACGATACCCAGCTGAGACAAAGAATTTCCACTTGCCACACATGAAAAACTCTCTTTTCGTCTTAATGATTTAATATAACTGAAGATGTACTTGTATTTTAGCTTCACTTCAGGCCGACTTGGCTCAAGCATACGCCGAGAAAGCATCGCTGGAGGAGGAACTAGCCAGCGCGAGACTAGCCATGGAGCGTCAGCAGAGGCAGGCCAAACATGACACCAATCGCCTCAACTCTGAGGTCAGTTAGTTTGCCATTTTGTCCACAAACAATAACAATATTATGAAGATTGACAAGGGATTCTTAATCAAATAAAATTCTCGACATAGGGTATTAATTAGAAACAACCCTCCCATGCTCTTTATAATCCATCCTATTCAAAAGTAAAGATTGGGCTATAAGCCCGGAAGGAACCATTCATAATTTTCACGTTAAGTTAGTATTGACCATTAAATAGATTAAAAATAAAGTTCAGACAATGGAAGACCGAAAAGAGAGTTGTTCCATTTAATCAATTTCTCAGGGTGAGTTGGTTCAAGATCAAATTTAGCATTCGTTATTAAACAATTAAAGGAACGTAAGCAAAATCTATTTTTTAAATTCAGATCAAGCCTCATCAGTATACAACCTTTTTTTTACTGATCAGATCCAATCACTTCGTCAACGCTTGGATCGGGCTGATGCGGACTTGGTTCACTCGCGTCGTGAAAATCTTCGTCTCTCTGAACAGATATCATCGCTCGAAAAGGAGGTAAAGAAAGAAAAGCCTAAAAGAATTTATTAACACTTCATTTAAATAGCAATGATTTAAAGTGTATTGAAAATAACTTGAAATAAAAATAAATTTACAAAAACAATACAATCATAAAATATACCATCTTTCCTCAGTTGAATATGAAGAGTTTGACGCCAATATCCCCAGAGAAGAACAAGAAAGACAAAGAGCTGTCAACGATGCTTGAAACTATGGAAAATAAACACGGTAAGTAAAATTTGAATTGAAAATACTAAAAAATATATGCATTGCATATGATTTATTTAGGTAGAGAAATTTGGACGGCATAACCATAGTTACAAACAAATAATGTAATACTTCAAAGCTCCGACATAAATAAGTTTTCTAATTCCCCGAAGTAAGCTTTAATTAATATTTCAGATCTTCCATGTCGCACATACTTATTTGTTTTAGAAAAAAATAGAAAAATCAATGAATTTGATATAAATCATACCAAGGTTCATTCTTTTCTGAGATGTAGATAAAATAAGTTGAAATAGAAATCGTTAAAAACCTGTTGACGGTCTGGACTCCCAAAATAAATTTGTTTGTTTGTCTGTTCGTTAAATGGGTAAACTGTTGATGTTTTGACAACTTTTTCAAAACTTAAAATGATTTAGAGATTACCCCAAAACATTTATACTTTACCCCTTCATTTGCGATTAACGCTTGCATGTTTACGGTTAGAAAGGGCTTTTTGATTATACCTTCAATTCAATAGTTTATTCATCAGATTGTTTAGTACTAAAATTTTGAACCCCTTATTATTTTCTAACTGCATTCACTAAGCTAGAACTTAAGGGAGGTATATGTGCCAAGTTTATAGGAAAGTAAATTTGGTTCCGCAGCTAAAACCGTGGCTGAGTTGGAGTCCATGATACAGTCACAAAACAGTCTGATGGAGAAACTCACCGGCGAATGTCGCCTGCTTACTGACAAGCTCGACGACGCAAACCGTAGGCACAAGTACGAGACATTTTCAACTATAAGCATGCGCATCTAGTTAGCCGACGACATAAATCAAGTGGCGCTACAAATTTTTCGAAAACTCGAACAAAATTGCTGTCCGTTGTTATCATTACCCGTGAAACGAGCAGATATCCTAACGTCGTGTTGTGTTTTTATTGGTGGCAGGCAGAGCGCAGAGTCGCGGCCGTGTAGACGAACCAATCAGAACACAACGCGACCGCTCGAGATCCCGAGAACCAGAGAAACCACGTACCAACAGGCACCGCTCCGGAAAAGAGTCCGATTCGTCGAATAACCGGCCGATCGTAGTCGGCCCGTTAACGACCAATCAGGACCTCGCAAATTTCCACGGGGAGAAGATTTACAATTTGCCGCTAATGATTCAACAGCCCTTTTTACGCGAGAAAAAGGAGCCAATCAAAGTTGACATTAGCGTCAAACTTATACCCAAGCCCAAAAAGAAGGATAGGAAACGGCGCGAGTCGCAATTAGACGAAGTGGCCACGCCGAAGAAGGCGGTTAACAGTAATATTAGTATGATAGTTACAAGTAACGATATTCACATATTGAATGAAACAGTTGAAGGGGCTAAAAATAGTGACATAATACCTAAATCACCTGCTAATGATGAAACTAAAGAATCAAACAATGATGAAATAGATTATAATAAAGAAGTAGAAACCCCAAACAAGCATTCAATTGACCAAGATAAAAACATTATTGAACAACCAACAGTTATGTTATGTGAGGAAGTTCAAAAAAATATTGATGTAGATATGAATGCAGTAAAAGACACTCAACAAATTGACGATGAAATTGAGCCAGAAAAGGCTCATGTAGATGAAACGTTAGCATAATTGTAAAGTCCAAACATTTTCATCAGTCATCATAAATTTTATATCAAATTGATATATAGGACTTTCTGTTATTCGTTTACTGCTTCATTATTATTACTATATTAAAGTTATTCATAGTAATAAATGCTTTATTTCCGAGAGGTATACGCAAATGCTACTGTTTAATGATAGATATAATTCATGAACATGTTAATCGCACCTTAGATATTTGTAATAAACATATCATTTAAGGATGGGATTAGAAATAGTATTTATACTGAATTCTCATTATTCTTCATATCGATGCTTTTACACCTCCAAATCATTAATCAACAATATTATATTGAACTATAAAGGTGTATGCTTGTTACTTGTCTTACTTTTCTTATTATAGTAGTTTTCATGTATTTATTAATTGTTATCGCTTAAAAGAGTTAAAAAAATGTTTTTTTTATATAGTTAAAAAGATTTATGTCGTCGGTGCAATAACTATGTGATTTCATTTACATTTAATTAACAATTGTTTCAATGTTTGTTTTCTCCCGATATTATTAAAACTATTTATCATAGTATTTAAAAATTATAATTTAATAGTTGCTGCAGTTTTTTGTATAAGAGGTAAATGGGTAATGATAACAACTAGTTGTATTGTCGATCACAATAAAAGCTTAATGTACTTTAGATTTTCATTTCAATATTTCCAACTTTTAATATTCGCTTGCCGCATCGTGACCAATTAGAATTCACTTTAACACGACATTTCATTTCAGAGGGGACCGTACACAATTGCTTTGCAGGAATGCTGAACTTATGAGAAAACTCCGCAATCTGTGGTCTTCTCATAAGAAATATTGCACCACGCTACCTCCCATTCGGAGTTACACGCCCTTAAGCGGTTACCCCAATAGCCGATCATCTTACGACGTAGACCGCACGTATTGTACGTCGACGCCTTACACTTATAGACGTAGATTTAGAAGAAGCGAAGATTCTATCGATCTGGCCTCGGTTGGAGATGACATCGGCAACTTAACGGGGAACTTGAGCGATCTATCCATTGATAAAATTGTCGACTCTGATGACGACCCCTCTAAGGTAAAGGGAAACTAAATTTACAAGGATTAACAAGATATGATCTGTAGTTAGAGTAGACCGATATGTATTGTATTTAGATTTAAGGAAAGGTCTAGTGAGTTTTTCTTAATCTTCACTTATATTTACAATAATTTATATATATTTACTTATAATTTTCCCCTATTAGACTTTTCTTTATATGTTTGAACTTTACTTTGCATGAATTCTTTTTGTAATAGTAGAATTCCATCAAATTTAAAGATTAAGTGTCCTTGTAGTCATTATATAATGTTACATTTTAAAATTATCTATAAATAATAAAATTTAGCTTGGGTGTTTGCACGTTAATTTTACACAAGGTAGCAGTGTGTATTATACAATGCTTGAGATTCATAAAATGATTAAATGATTTTAATTATAAAAATGATGACGATCTCAAAATCTATATATATAAATAATATATGGACATTTAGTAAACTATTGACGTTTTACTCCAGTTTTTTCGTCGATTAAGATAATTGCATGTATCGCTCTAAATGCAAAGCATGTTTGTCATTGCACTTGTTTGTGCGTGAGCATGTTTTGTCACGTGTGCCGGTGTGCTGCAGGGAAGAACTGGCAACTCTGCAGCGTCAAGTAGAGCTGCTGGGTCGATCGCTGCAATCGACCACCACGCCTGCACCTAGCAATTACCAAGGTATGGGTTTCAGCCAAGCCACTTTCAGCCAAGTCACATACAGGCCTATCATTCTGAAACGTATGTATAAACAAAAATTATAGTACATCAAATGTGTTTATACTAATCTATCTGGTACCGCAATTAAAAGTATTTACAGTTTTCGTTAATACGAAAGTCCTGAACCTAATTATCTAAACTGTAAAACCTGTGTTCAGCTACTCTGTCCTATAACCGGACAAAACAGGTTGTTACCTTGTTAAATATAACTAGTAAAGTAGTAATAGTAGTGTAGTATTCTTAATAATGAAAGAAATCTATACGAATATTGTTAAACTCATTGAATAGTCCTTAAATTTCACAATTATTTGTCACGTTCGATACAATGACGTGCATTTTACAGCACCAGCCACGCACACAACCACTGCCCACGGAATTTCAAAATATCCCACGTCCGGCGCCAGACCAAACCATACCGGAGACGACGCCACCGGACACGCCGCGACCGAACAGTCAAGCGAGCAGCCGGACGAACTTCACGGCGTCCACAATCAAACACCAGGAGTAACCGAACAGCATCACGAAAGTCCCACAACGGGGGATGCAGCACACGACGACAAACCAAACACAACCGGGCAAAGTGAAATTTTCGAAACTACAGATCAGGTTAACACGGATAGAACAAACGAGACTGATCAATACCAAACGGTGACGGACGCAGAGCATCCAATGGATATGTCGGAGCCAGTACATGAACAGCGTTACGGTGATAACTTCGAACACTACGAACAGAATCCTGAGACGAATACGGAGTACAATCAGGAATACGATAAGAATCAGACCCCACACGAGGAGAATGAAACAGGATACACGGAGCCACAATACGAGAATTACGAACAGTATCCCCAACAATACACCGAACCAAATGCACAGTACGACGGACAATTTGAGAACTATCCTACTGATGGTAACTACCAAGGTGAATACAACGAACCTCAGTACAACCTGTACGCGGCAGAATACCAAGAACACACACCAGAGGCACAACAAGAAGCAGGTGTCCATGAAGACCATGAACAAAGTATCGAATCACCGTCCGGCAAACCCAAACCGATCAAGTCCGAAGTAAATCCGGATCAAACGGAATCCAATGGCAGTTAGCGACGTTAGATTACTTTTAATTATTCGTGCAATATTCGTTATTGAGTTATTTGCTTTTTTTTTAGTTTATACGAACAATCGATTTATGTACGTTTCACAAAACTTGTACGATGCGATAAGGAGTAAATTAGTCGAACACAATGAGCATTTTATTACATGCATTCCAAATAGACTAAGATGACATTGTCATACGTGGCAAATGAACGGTTTTCTCGAAGTAAGTGTTTACAACTCCATGGTCAGGCGATGCAGCTGCCTTGTTAGACATTAAGAAAGTGGGCCCTCAGCCTTCTTGGCATTTAAAATGCAATTGTACAAATGTTCCACTTAACAGCGAATCTCCTGAGACCTGTCCATTCAAGCAACAGCAGAAACCCCATTTTTTCTATTCGCTCTATAGACTAAGGTCCACAAAGTTCTAGTAGAAAATCTCGCCCCAAGAAATTCCAATTTTAAGCAATAAATTCGACACGCGACGTAAAACCAATCAATTAGAGGACGGTGATTAACGCTTTGTCATGATTAGCAACGCCTCGGCCTAAAGATTATTGCAACTGATTATATTAACAGTCCTCATTCTAATATTGAGCATAATGAAGGCGTTGTGCTTCGTTTTTATAATCAGCTTTGCTGTGGTGGACATATTAGCGGTGAGATACTTTGAGCATTTACACCTATAAATTGTTGTATGTTTCTTTACTAACACGTACAGCCATTAAAGTAACAAAATAACACATAAAAACTGTAATTGCAACTGGAACAGTGGATTACTGTTTCTATGTGTTTTTATACCTTTGTTAAGGTCCAATTGCGACAGTATTCGTATAAGCTTGGCTAAGCACCATCACACCACACTGTCTCGTCACTGTCTTTACTCGGTCATCAGTTTCATTGCAGGGACGTTAATATAGAGAAAGAAAGACTAAAAAAAGATATACAAATAAGAAAGACTACATAATACAAGACTACAAGATATACAAAATACAAGACTAACCCAGTCAGATAATAGCTACCGATCGAGCCGAGGTCCGGCCCTCTCGGGCACCCTCGAATCGGAATGCTAAACGCGTGCTGAGTGACAGTCCAAGCCGAGGTCCCCTCTCGGGGACCCTTGAGCCTGATCACTCCATGGAGCGCCCGCCAAAGCGCCCTAAGAGCTTGGCGGCCTCCCAAACCGGTAACAATAATAGCGTGACGGCCCGAGCCGAGGCTCCCCCGGGAGCCCTCGAGCTTAGTCACCATAACGCGTAATAATAGTACGCCGAGGTTCAGGCTAGGCGCCTCGTGCGCCAGGCCACCTCAAGTCCGTCGGATCTGTGAAGGCCCCTAAGGCCAACAGTGGCTCATCCAGCCAAAAAAAAAAAAAAAAAAAACAAGACTAAATAAGAAAGCTCCCATTGTAATAAAACTCTAAAGTTGATTGATTGGTAAAGTAGACTCAATAAAACTTGAATATCACCAAAACGAACTCATTGAAATTAGCTAATTTAAAAGTTTAATGTGTTAGAGAAACGCAAAAATCTTTTTTAAGAATTTAAATGATATGGGGAGATTGGGACGATTCACATTTCACCTGAACTTTTCTTAAAGAAATATGGGCGTAACGCTTTATAAAGTTAATAATGATTATTAAAACTCCTAGGACTTTTACAATGCTCTTTGTTACATGTATTTATAGTAATGTTGAAAGAATTTGATAAGAAGAATTTACAGAGTCGAATGAGCACAGACTGTTTAAGGCAAAAAGAAGAGAAGTGATTAGATAAGATTATAAGCACAGTAAATTAACACAAAATACATTAAAAAATTAATCTATTGCTTTAGAATATAACTAATTTTTAATTACATTAAAGTTACAATTAGTGTACGCAAGATGAAAACAAATGTTAAGTAGACTATCGAAATATAACAATTATGCCTGCATTCACAGATATCGACGGTTGCAAACGCTACTTCTACAAAGGTAAGAAAGAGTCAAGAAAAAGGAATAAATTTTGCGCGTAAATAATTCTGTTATAATTAATAGGTTTAAGAGCGATTGCTCCTCGACCGGGAAGTCATGTATATTCATTGTTAACTTCACGCACACAGTGCCGAGCAGGGCAGTATGTGTGTGTGTGTTCTGTCATATTATAGTCAAACTAATTCATTTTGATACATTCGAGTAATTGAAATAGCAGTTATTTCATTTGAGTGAATAATAATACAATGCTACTAGGGTGTAAGATCCATATATTACGAATAGATATAATATATTCAAATAGATATAGTATGGACAAACTTTTTTCGTGTACATTAATTATTACTTTTAATTTATTTTTGTTAAAATATGAATTATTTCACACATCAACAACACAGCCTGGTTCCAAAGCAAGAAATATTTAAGTAAGATGATTAAATGAAGATGTAAGAAAGATAGGTATTTCTTGCATTGAACCATACTTATAGTGTCGTGATGTAATACTCATATCGAGAGTACGTAATTTTCTAAGCCGCTCTTTTAAATACATTTGACTAGCACGAGCGAAAATGTCGATGCTGCAATTTGACAACTATATGCTCACTCCGAATAGAACTTGAAGCTAAGCCTCTCTGACTTTAGCGTGAATGTAAATATAAATATATATATATATATATATAATCGCCTATATAGGTGAATAGTGGGCATACAATGATCTCCATCTTATTTATTTTACTTACAGAAGTTACGGAACGTTACTTCATCGGTAAGTCATATGTAAAACAAAAAAAATTTCTCAGTTCTCGGCAATCAACTGCACATATTACTTTTAAAATCTTAAAACGACGCTCTTTAGTTTCATTAAATTTAAAACTTATGGAATATTCACATGTAAAAGTAGTTATTCAAAACTACAACAGAAGCAACGTCTGACGAAAAAGATTTGATTAAAGAAAAAGAAGCAACCCTGTGACATACTATTTCTTTAAAAACAAGTCATCATAGCAACTGAACAATAGGGCAAAACATGTAAATGATTATCGTAACCATCCCAGCGAAAATAAATGAACGTTATTTTTCTTCATTTCTCATTATTACAGAAAACAGCGGATAGAACGATAGCGGTAAGAAAAATAAATAATAATATAATCATATAACTTTGTGGTCTAGACTGAGAGTCAAACATTATAAATGATTAAAATAAACTTATATATTCGTACTTAAGTTTCACTGCTGGGTTTTTGATACCTTAACCTGTAATCGAAATAACAATTAGTATGTAAATTTTTATACATAGAAATAGAGATTTCTTAATAGTAGCATTTCATATGTTTCAACCACAGTACAGGGCAGGAGAGGGCAACACTTTTCTACACAACTTATTTTTATCGTAAAAATGTCTGGTGGTTGAGGTCTTAAGCTTAAACAATGAGAGTAGAAGAGGATGTGAAATATATTGATGTTTAATATTTTTTGTCATATGCAGTACCATAGGACATAAAAAATAAAAATCAATAGCTTTATACATGAAGTCTAATCAGTTTCTAAGTAAAAACATCAGTGGTGACTTAAATTAGGTAGCCTTCAAAAGGATTATTGGCCGCCCTTGTTACAGTCGATTTGTCTCCGGATAATATAGCAAAACAGAAAATTATGTACACAAAACGTCAATAGCAAAAGTTTAAATTTTAACAGACACCCACAAATAGCACTAAGGCAAGTCAACAAAAGCTTAAGGATGCAAAAAGAATAATATTTTTAACCCTTTTTGAAACAGAATTTAGTATTATTTATCAAAGCACAGGAAACGAAGAAGTAATTCGTTTAAATTAAGGTCTTTTAAATTACGCCCATAGTTTGAGTTTGATGACTCAGTCGTTAACCGATAGACTTTGGCGCCGCGGTCCGAAGGGTTGATTCGATTCTCAATCGGGACCAGTATTTGTGTGATTTATACACTGTTACACATAACAGCTCCGCATCTGACTGTGTCCATGTTTCATTAGTCTTTATAATACGAGGGGTTGTACAGACATGATTATCTTATCCTACAATAGGAATAATGATTTAAAAAAAATAATGAGACTATGAATCGGGATTAAAGTTTGAATGTAAACAAGATTTGAGTTACATCTGAATTTCAGTTAGTTAAATACTAGCCAGTGCTTAACTAGGAACTGACGTAGTCTCAAGTAAGTACTTTAGTCGTAGTTTAGTTACCACACTAACTCAGAAAATAATATATTCAATAAAAAAGGGGAAAAATTAAGGACTAGAACTTAACTTTCATGTCTGATATATGTAATTTTTTCTTCCAACAGACGGTAAATAATACTCCAATGTTAAACATAAATACCACCGAAACAAGAGAGGGCAAAATAATTCAAATAGATATAATGACAAACAATTCTGAAATCACTCGGCCAGCCGATTCTGTTCAAGGAACAAAGTTAAACGAGACAAATGTTACCAAAGTTGACGGAGCCAATTTTAAAAAAGTTGATAAAAAAAACGAATCAGCAAAGGAATCACAAGTTCAGAAAATACACGAAAGAGAGAGAAAAACACTGAAGAATTTATTTGATAAGATTCTAGCAAACGAACATATACATTTGACAGGATATCGTTACGACAACCGGGGAAAAGGGACAGAATTGAGGGAATATTTCTTGGTGATAAAAAAGAAATATGTTCCTCACAATAGCGATCACGTATGTATCTTTTTATCTATTACTAGCTCTCCCGGCAAACGTTGTTTTGCCATATAAATTATTTCTAGTAAATTTGTAGGGCAGAAATGATTGGGGAGGAACACCCTTATCACTTAGGGTCTATGAGAAAAAAGATTACGACCTCTGTCCTCTTCCGATTCTCAGACCTACGAAATATACATATAAAATTTCCTAAAATTCGCGATGAAGCCGCTTCGGAGGAGTAGGGCAACTAACATAGTGACAAAAAAATATACATATTTATATGTTATACCTATATATTGACATATGTAGACATATGTATATATATCTTTGCTTTTTAATTATTACGTTACAAGTTCCGTAAGTTTATAACGTCTTCATTGTACATTTTCTTCGTGTTTCTTGGCAGTTGCTTATATTTTAATAATCATTCATTCTCATTTTCAATTTTTCTGATTGTTTCAGATGTCCGTAAACAATCTCGTGAGTTGATTTATACCGTATAAATTATTTTTCCGTTACGTTTTTGTGATGACATTAGCGAACGAAACAGATCAAACGAAATCTTATATATACTTTAAATAAAATTAGTAATAAGTTTCTTAATATTTGAGTTGAATTGAATGTATGGAAATCAAATATTGATTTTAAAATTTACAGATTCCTAATGGCGAAATGGAAAAACTAAACAAGATGAATCCGTTTAGTGGGCGTGTTTAAATACTTACATATATAATATTCATGTCCAATTATATAATTATCTAATATATATATTTTATTTTTAAAGCGGGGGATAATTACGATAAGTGCCTAATGTGTACTAATTGTGGGTAATCTAAGTGTGGTCATAAAATCGTCTATAGTTTAATCACACGTTTACAGGGCTCTGCAACCAAAAGAAAAAGACGAGCCATAACAGAGAGCGCAGGGTATACACACGACCCTGGCGTATGTAAACGTTACAATGACAACCTTCGCGACATGTGGTCCAACCTCTCGAAATATATCGACACTGCCGGAAAGTCACCGCCAAATAAAAGCGTTCTCCACAACATCAGTATAATGCTAAAGGCTTATTTAGACCACGTGGATCCAGTTGAAATCGAAAGGAAAACAACGGTGAACGAATCAGAATTGGATAAAAACCCTATAGACATTGAAGACGTTCTATCCCCAATAATTCGCAAAATCAAATCCAAGATCAACGTTGATAGTAAGGATAAAATAGACGTTAAGTCTGTAATCATTTTTATCATAGATGTATTCAAAAAATTTAAAGGACACCCAACGACTGCAGACTGTAAAGTGCGAAAGGAAAATGAAATTGCATCGCTAATCAATACAGCTTTTCAAAAATTTTTATTGAACGCAAATTGTAGCAATATTCAAAATAACAATATAGGCGACACATATGCTAATTCAAATCCGAGCACATTGGAACAATCCAAACCTAAGCAGTCGCTCTTAAAATTACCTTCTTTATACTCAAAACTTGAAAGGTCTATAGAAACGATAGATTATGAATCAAATTATAAAGCCAACAATTATAATCTTAAGTACAACACAAACTCAAACACGATATCAGATGATTTAAATGTTGCAAACTCCGTCACTAATCCGAATAGTAAACGAATTCAAGAATCATTTCAAAGATCTGTAGTAGCGTTAAGACGAATGGGCCTAAATGTTGAATACTGCGCTAGCCTTGCAGTAGATCAATTTTTGAGTGTCCTAAAATTTATTTTAAGTCATTACCTTCAGTATGATGATTGCGAAAAGTATGAAACTAGTAAATTTGATATCGAGAAACTAATAGAAAGTACAGTAGGTTACCAAGCTCCGGGTAATAAAAATGTTAACAATACATCAAAGGACCGAGAGCTGGTTCAACTACTAGTAAACATGGAAGTGGAACATTTAAATCATATATTTAAAATACCAATGGAAGTAACTAAGAATAACATAATTAACAATGAAGCATTAAAAAAAGTTTTGCATGATATCAATGAACTTAATGCATATATAAACTCTGCACCTCAAAATAGCGACGAGCGCCCTTCGTTCGATCAATACAACCTTCCTCGTTCTATTAACGTAGAAGATTCGAATGTTTCTAGTAAGGTAAAAACAAATCCAGAATATCAACGGTTATTTTCAGAATACCAAAATCATTCACAAACATTTAATAACATACATGACTTTATAAAACAAAACAAGTTAGAAAAAGCTGAAAATACACGGAGCAATCAAGATACTCCTCCGGATAACGAAAATCACGAGAAAATTTTAAGAGAACCCGAAAACAGTCCCCCCGAAGCGACAGATCAGTTAAGTTACAGTGTAGATCGCGCAGCTTCTAAGCCTTATCGATCTCTAGGTTATCTTAATGCGAATAGTAACTCTAATTACAGCCCCAATAATTCTGAAATCATCCCTGTTAAAAATAGAGAAAATCTTAATTTATTAGCAAACCTTTTCAAACCTTATCTATTTAAAGTTGTAAATAGTAATCATGCAAACATAGACATGAAACCAGAATATTTAAACGGCTATACTGTGCAGGATCCTACTCACGCGCCTAAGGTTGCAAACGAAAGCGATAACTATACTGCAGGATTAGCCAATGTTTTACCACGTGACAACAAAAATGTAAAGAAATTTCTTCCTCCTTTCCTTTTAAAAGATGATACACTCATAAATAAAGTTAATGAGTACAATTTAAATGATACATATACACTAAATCATTCACATTCACTTGCAAAAAACATTCTTTTGAATAGTAATTCCAATGCATCTATAAGTACGCCAGTTAATTTAGCACCTAATTCAGATCTTTCAAACAGCCTCTTCAAACAACCATTACGATCGAAATTAAGTGCTAACACAAAATATACCGAATCAGATGGGTTTGAAACAAATGACGATGAAATATCCAATGAGAACGTTTCACTTAATAAATATTATTCAAATAATATTCATAATCAAACGCTTCTGAGAGAACGATTAGAAACTGGATCAACCAAATCATCTATGAAATTTACAGTAGACCGTTATTTACCAATATTAACTTCACAATTTAGTTCTAATGGTGACGTGGAATTGACATACATTTACAATCACCCACAAATTGTTGTTTTCCAACCACAAGTATTAGTAAAACGCCGCATGTCATATTATGACTATATCAAAAACTTCAATAATATATTCAGCGAGGCAGAGCAAAATCAAAATAACCTTTATCTTCACAAAATTGTGCGATATCTTCCTAACAATAATATACAAGTTCTATATGATTCTAAAAGTTACAATCCTGCTTTAAAAATAATGAATGCTATAATTTCAAACCAAGCAAATTAAAATTTAAAATATTTTATAAAGTTCTTCAAGTTCTTTTTGTGAATTCCGATCTTCTATAGTAGTACCATTATTTATAATAGAATAAAATATGATTTGATAAATTAATTGTCAAAGAAAATATATCAACTAATGTAGGGAATACTTAATTTATGTTAAAAAAATAAATAAATTCGCAAATAGTATGTATGTACTTATAATATTATAATCTCTTTGGCTATACCATTTGCATCTGCATGGTTTTGGTATCATTAAAAAGTTTAAATTTTAATAAAGATAATAAAATTAGGAAAATGTATGATTTTCATTTGTTTTTCTTACTGTTAAAAAGTGATTCTAATCAAGAATTGTTATTTGTAGACGTAGTGCAGTGTCTGTGAGAGTAGCATAAATTTGGTTTAAGCGTTTTCAATCCGGAAATTTAGATGTCAAAGATTCACCTCGCTCTGGGCGTCCTGTTACGGATAAAATGGATGCCATTTTTGAAAAAGTGGAGCAAGATCGGCATATCAGTAGTTTCGATGTAGCTGTAGAACTGGGAATTGACCATAAAACAGTTTTGCGCATTTGAAAAAAGCTATTTGGGTGCCTCATGAGCTCACTGAAAGAAACCTAATGAACCGTGTACTCATTTGTGATTCTTTATTACGACTTAATGAAACCGAACCATTTTTGACAAACCTGATAACACGAAAAAGGTCGTGGTCAGGCCTCACAGGCTCTGGCAAACCCGGGTTATCTCGCAACAAGGTAATGCTGTGTGTATGATGTGATTGGGAGGGCATTATTTATTATGAGCTGTTACCGCCTGGCAGGATCATTGATTCTGAATTCTACTGCGAAAAACTAATGAGATTAAAGCAAGAAGTTGAGAGAAAGCGGCCGAAATTAATCAACAGAAGGGGTGTGGTTTTTCATCATGATAACGCTAGACCTCATGACTCTTTGGCCACTCGGCAAAAATTAAGAGAGTTTGACTGGAAGGTGTTAATGCATCCGCCGTATAGTCCTGACCTTCCACCTGCAGATTTCTACTTGTTTCGGTCTCTTCAGAATTCTTTAGGTAGTGTCAGGTTAACATTACGAGAGGACTACCAAAACCACTTGTCGGGGTTTTTTAATCAGAAGCCACAGAATTTCTATAGCAATGGGATCATGTCCCTACCTACAAGATGGCAGAAAGGTATCGAACAAAATCGCACCTACATACTTTAGTTAAATGTAAATAAACTTTATTAAAAAATGTTTTGAATTTTCATATAAAATGCGAAGAATCTTTTATCCAAACCTATATAATTAATAATATAATAGTATATAAGATATAATTATATGCCATAGATGATGCTACTGCCGCTACAAACAGGTAATATCGCTACATTATGAAAATATCAAAAAGTTTATTGGTTGATATGGCGATACCGTAAAGTTGATGGCTATGCAACCAACATTTCCTTTTTGACTGTCGGTATATGCGCGCATAGTAAGAATTTTACCCACATAATTTTTCCCAAACGCGGCAAATAAGCGGTTATAAAATCGGATATACTAAGATTTACGTTGAATATAGATATATAACAGCTGGCTGAAATAGCTGGCATGAAGTACATCAACATTTAGGATATATTATGAAATTTATACTAAATTTGAACGGATCAGCTAATGGGTATGTTCCGTTATGCACTACGACTACGACCACTGTACAGTGTGACGTTAATTTAGTATACTGTGAAGTCGTTCCTTTACAGTTAGCTAGACTGGTTAAATAGCTAGCTGTTTAAAACGGAACGCAATCTTGTATACTGTCAGCCGCATTTTATGACGCAGCATTCAAATGCGTGTATTAAAGTTTTCTAGTTCATTAATTCAGTCATTACTTTATTAATTAATACATACATAATAATACATATATGTATGTAATACATAGATAATAATAAATATTAATAAATACATATTAATTAATACAGTCTAATAAGTTTAATTTTTGCAATTCTTCCATTGTTTTATTTATTAATCCAAACTAATTACAGAACTTTATAACTTTGGGATTAAATTGGAGGTATTGTTTATAAAACGTTAGACACTCGAGTGGTTTTGACTGATCACGTGATCAAAGTACTGCGAGTACCTTACCTCGAAAACGCCAGTGCTCACCGTAGAATATGGCGACGATTTGTGACGTCATATATTTCCCTAGGGCAGTGATTCTCAAACTTTTTTTCGTTGCGGCACATATTAAACGATTTCAAAATTTGGCGGCACACAAAGAAAAAGATAAAAATTATTTACTTACTACAACACACTGCATAGTATATGACAAAAATATGAAAGAAATAGTTTATGACAAAAATTTTAAATATACGAAATAAACTAATATATATTACAATAATAACTAAACGTTTATTAAGGGATTAATTAAAAGCTAATAATAAAAATATTTTTAATGCGAAATTTGAGCTTGATGTTTTTTGATAATTTCATTTATATTTGGTCGTAAAAATGACAATGCTACTCTCATATCGTCTTCTACATTTGTTCTTTTTTTAGTTTTAATGTTGGCTAATGCCAAAAAATATTTTTCTTTTTAAATGATATAATTTAATAATATTAACATTATTATATATTTGCAAAATTTGGCGGCACACTTTTGAAATTTGGCGGCACACAAAAGTCCGCGGCACAGTGGTTGAGAATCACTGCCCTAGGGCATCGCGGCAGTATACTGGCATTTCTACAGTGATAGCACTGTGCAGTGCTCGCAGTTCATGTCGGAACATACCTGTGGTGGATGCAAACAACCGCCGCGTCTATTACAAATTTTGCGCGCAAAAGCGCGCAACTCGCGTTTTGCAACCAAGTCGTCTCTGATTGGTCGGCGACCGGGGAGTTCCCCCTCTGCTCTCTGCTTCCACGATGGCCGCACGGAACATTGCTGTCATGCTGTCAAGTCAACTTGTTTTTAACGATAATATTGTTTAAATCGTGAAAATAATTGTGAACATATCAAAAGTTCTTCTGATATAAATACAAATAACAGTGAGAACATTCTTGCGTTTCATTTAATGGCATTCTGCACATTTCATGCCATATACCCAATGTCATGAAGATTTTGATCATTTTTTTTAATAAACGAAGTGTAAAGTATATGAGAGGTTACATCCTCCTTGAGGTTTGTTCATTTTTATTAGTTGCGCTAAAAATTTAAAATATATTATGATATATAAATGATATCGATACGAATCAAATATTCTATGAAAAGAATTAAATATTCTAAAATAAATATCGAATATCGATTTATTGTGATTAAAAATATTGACAGGAGACGGAGAAAACAATGGACTCAGGAATCATTTAGCCAGATAAGAGACAGCAATATTTTCTAGCAGTGTTCCCACTTTAATATGTTTCCATAGAAAACAGGAAAATTTTTACTAAAGATCAACATTCATTCATTTCTTCCTTTGTAAAATGTATTCTAAAGATATATTCGTTCCACTAACTAATAAGAATCCAATCCAATTTTGGCCAAAACATTTGCATTTCTTCAAGACTTATTGTAATAAGCACATCCCCCGTCTCATCGGATTAACCTATTTACAGATATATTTTTCTAGATGTGCCCCACGACAAATATTTTTCCGCGATAAAAAGTATCATATTATATCCAATCAATATTGGAATAGGGTTGAAGCGATGCCAATCAAATAAATTACCAATAATAACCTATCAAATAGTACATCACGTAATCGTTGTTCTTTTCTATTTTGATATCCAAAAACATGATAACGATTTATAAAACAGTTTTAAATAAGAGAATTACAATAAAATTTTAATATTATTGTTATAATTTAGTAAAACACAAAAAACTATCAATTACATGAATGTTTGACACCAAGCTTTCAAAATAACTTGAAGTTGTACTTGTAGTACAAAGAAACAGTTTAGCAGTCAAGTTTGTAGTACAGTACAAAGAAAAAAATTAATATGTATCTTTAGATTAGTTTAATTGTTTTCTCAGTCTGCGTTATCGACGACGTATAGCAACATTTAAAAGAAAATCGATATGTCGATATTCTTAACCCATCCCACATCACTAGTGTCAACTACTTGAAATAATTATAGTCTTATCTATGGTTCTCTATGCGTAAACGTTGTGATTACATTCTCTTTACTCTATGGTCTTATCTATGAGTACTTGTTTACTAAATAGCGACTGACTAAGCATTGAGGTTAACACAAGTTGTTTACTAAATTGAATGTTTAGTTCATGTTATAGAAGGCGCCGTGAAAATATTAATAAAGAGTGTAAATAAATATGGTGTGTGAAAAGTGTGAGAAAAAACTTGGTCGCGTCATCACACCAGATCCCTGGAAGACTGGGGCCAGAAATACAGTGGAATCTGGTGGTAGGAAAGTTGGTGAAAACAAAGCTCTGACAGCAAAAAAAGCTCGATTCAATCCCTACACAGCTAAATTCGAAGGATGCAAGTAAATGCTCATTATGTTTATGTTTGTTGGCCAGCTATAAACTTTGTCATGTCCATAATTATTTAATATATCCATTGGATGGTTGGACTAAAGTATACAGATAAAAGTATTTTAATAGATACATACACAGAACATTAAACTATAATTGTTAAATATGCAGATAACAATCAAAATAAAAAAGGCAATATCTCGATCCTTCCTACAAGCACCCTGTCTTAATTATTTACTTTTTTGATGCAGTTGTATCGTTGTGATGTTTCAGAATATGCCGCATGAAGGTGCATCAAGTAGGCTCACATTATTGTCAAGCCTGTGCATATAAGAAGGGTATTTGTGCAATGTGTGGTAAGAAAATCTTAGACACTAAAAATTATAGACAGAGTTCCACATAGGTTTAACTTGGAGAAATAGTGATTATATTACAGATTTAAGATAAAATTAAATGTTAATTTTTTTTAACTTTAATATAATATTAATAGTCTTATTTATGAGAGTGACTGTAATACATAATTAAAATTTTTATTAATGTATATTGAACCAGGAGCTTGTAAAAAATTTACTAAACATATTGAAAAATTTTAAAAGTACAAATTTAAAGAATAAATCTGTAAAGCAATATTTTACTACTTCTTATTGCTTGTTCCATCAATGCTGAGGATACCGCCAATACAGCCCATTGCCCCCTTTACAGCATCAGAACATCTTGCAGGCGCCCTGCCCTGTGGATTTTTGTCATCTATTTATTAGATAATGAGTCTCTCCAGATTATGACCACTGACCGAAGAAGCTTAGAGCATGTTCTTGACATATTCGTGAGAGTGGTTATACTAATCATGTATTATTATAATAATCATTTGAAATTCTCTATTTCTATGTTTGATAACAGCTTTGTTTTCCCGACAAAATGTGGATATGTTATATGATATCAATGTGAAGATGTCATTGTATATTACTTTAAGAGAAGATCAGGAGAGCAGGATTGTCTATACATTTATAACATTAAGGGCATATTTAATAACTGTAAATAAATCACTTTAGTTGATTATTTTTCTTTTATTTATATTATATTTATGTATATACGCAAATAATTTGGATCAGCTCATAATACTTTTCGCCCTATTATCTACAAAATGTGTAAACTACAATAGTTTTTATTTGAGAATGCATATATATGATACTAACATTAATTTGTGTAATGTTATTTTAATTTACAAAAACAACAACCAGGCTTAGACTTAATTATTGATAAACTACTCTCAATGAAATAAAAAGGTCTCTGGGGAAGTTCTACAGTCTCACCTAAGACCAGCATGAAATGGAAATGTTATTCTTTAGTGCTCCATCTAGTGAGTGTGGTAACCGGGCCCCACTTTTTTTTGTAATGCATCTACAACCTGTTTGAGGTCCTTGGATGGTGGTTATCACTTAACACAAACTATTGTTTTCCAACTCTACATTAAAAATAATTATGGCCATGATAACTCAAGTGTGCAGGCACTCGCTTTGAATTCAGTATAATATAATATTGGTGCTGCCCCCAACGAAACTGTTGCTTGCAATATTAATTACTCATTTATCTCATGCTCTATGGTAAAGGAAAAAATCGTGAGGGAATTGCATATTTTTGAAATAATAACAATAATAGTTTTTTGGTAGACATGTTAAGCCTGCCAAATGCCAATCCACAGTGGGGTAGTGTGGAGGACTACTAATACCATCTGTACAGAAGAGGTCTTTGCATATATAGGCTGTTACTTTACTTTTTACTATTACTCTAACTTATATTAAAATATGTAAGTATATCACATGCAGTGATTTCGGCATCTTAATATTTCTTACTGCCTTATTTTGAGAACCGCGACCTGGGCATCAAATTTTATTGGACAATAAAATTAGGTGGTGAGCAACCATTAATGTTTAATGTCCAGGTACCACAAGAACATGGGAAAAAATTATTAGCATGAATCGCGGATTATTGTTACTTTATTTTGCCTTACAATTTATTCTGCTCACCAAACAAGAATTTATATAAAAACTCAATGTAATAATTTGTTTTAACTATTGGTGCCAGTCTTCGTGACGAGTTCCTCTGGTATTGCAAGTCTCCATTGGCGGCTGTGATAACTTAATATCAAGTGAACCAACTTGCTCTCTTACTTTGTCTTCCTCTATTCCTCCCATTACAGCGTATTTTATGACCTTCATGTCAGTAATGTTGCATTAATTCATAGAATAAAATCTTATTTTAATTTAATTAATTCTTTTGTGTAAGCTGGTCAGGTAAGTTAATTAAAAATGTATATTTCTTTACTGGCAACTTTTAGTCTTTCCAATTAGTCAAAGTTAACAAACCTTGTTAGAGTTTTAATTTAAATCGATAAGAGGCGCTTAGTCAATGCAATTTACGCGAGGCCAAAAATGCTAATCCTAACTGGTTTCGTATTTGCTACCCTCACTTTTTTAATAACGGTGAGTTAGTTTAATTAAAAATCTTAATTGGTTGTTTGAATTATTTATTTTTATTTCTATAGAGATTATTAAGAGCGTTGGTAAGCATAAAAAGTCAAGTCTTAAAATTTGTTGCTGATAATAAGGTATAGTTAAAATATTTATTAGATAGAAAATCATCATCAGACAATGGTAGTCCACTGTTGAGCATTCATTTATGATGCATTTAAATCGATCTTCGACTATACTGTGAGATCACAGTATAATCTGCAAACTGTTATTACGCAATATTCATATCTGAAACTATTACTTATATCTTAGATGTTTAGAAAGTGCGTTTCTCATTAACGACTACAGCATCAAATACGATCAGGAATTCAAGTAGCCTGTTATGATAAAAATTCAGTCTTCTTTCATTTGTAATGCAATGCAATAATATTAAATAAGCACTACAACAATAACAACAGAATTGTTTGTGCATTTCTTTTAAAAATGTATAAACCTGTTATAGCCACCACTATTATTTAATTGAAAGCAAACTAATGAATTTAAAGCACGACTTAGATGACACCATCAACGGGATTGAATCACGAGACAAAAACTGCCAGTGCGGACTCCGAGGATCCGTTTACAAAAATGATCCAATCGCTGATTAAAGTCAACGAGCAAAGGTTGAGTTCCCTTCAGCGTTATATCGACTTGAACAGTTTTTATAAAGAAAATGCCGCTCTACTTTTAAGAAAAGGGCTGAATGCAAAGAATCCGAAGAGTGTAAAGATATATGAGAGGGCGATGGTCGACAGCGAAGATATCGGAAAATTTCTTGCGGGCGCAAAGGAAACTCATGACATCGTAGTTCTGAAGAATTTAGACCTGAATGGAAAAGCAATTGACTCCGTCACAGGCAGAAAAAACAATGTGTTGACTGTAAAAACCAATCAGAAGAATGGTAATGACGAAATAAACCAACGCGGCAAGAATTATCTTTATGACGAAAGCTCTTTCGAAACGGGCTGTGATAATCCGTACAAAGAGGAATGCGGAAATAAAGGTGGATGCAGAAGAGGTTGCAGAAGGGCGTGTTTTTCCTCTTTCAGGAACTTTTGCTTGGTCTACTCATGCAGTTACAGTATGAGAGCAAAATTCGAGAAGAACTGCAGGCGCTCATGCTCTTATAGATTCCGCTATTGATATTAAAATGTAAATTCATACCGGCCTTTTATTGAAGTGAAACTTCTTTATCGGCGTTGGAAAAAAATGTAGTGTAACATTTTTGGGTTACGCGCCATCTTTTTCTTATCTTAAAATGTTCCTCTAACGCCATCTAGTGTTGTTTAGGGGGTTTTATGTCGTCTTTATTGATGGCGTTAGTTCCTTTGTGTGTTCGTAACAATATATATATATATATATATATATGTTATATTAAAGTGATCAGCAAAATCAAAGGGTTTATTTTAATTCTAATTTTAAAATGTAAACAATATATTTCGTATTTCAGTTACCATAAGCCATTAATAACACAAATATATAATAACGACATCAAGGAGAGTAATAATTCTATTACAATTAATGAAATTCAATAATAATATTTGTAGTAATGACAGTGCTAGCTCTAATACTTCAGAGCACGACACTGTAGTCTCTACACTGTAGAGACTCCTCTTCTCCAAAGGCAGGCACCGCCCACCGTGACCTGACTGCGCCTTCCACCGAAGACACAATCTGAAGCTGACCGATGATGCTCTTCGAAGCCTCGATCGGCCCCTGGAACTTGCGGTTGCGACGTCGATCCAACGTCCGCAAGTTCGGTTTTCCAAAAAAACTTCACTCTAGAAGTGGGCGATACAAATCGTATCAGATATGAAAACTAGATATTAGTACAATATCCCAATATCGCTTACTGGCTCGTTCAATATCTATGTATTTTACAATATCTGATATTTCCGAAATCTGATGTACCGTGCTCGCTCGCTATACCGACACGAATCGCGATACGGCGATATCATACGCGTTTGCTACAATATCTGATTTTTAAACAGATTTCGAGAGACAAAGCGCGGGAGATACAAATACTCACTAGTTAGAGCGGGACGGCAAGCAATGCACGATATCAGATATCGAGCGACAAAGCGCGTGAGATATAAACACTTACTAGTTAGAGTGGGACGGCAAGCAATGCACGATATCAGATTTTTAAACAGATATTATGAATAAGTTAAGTAATTTTGAATCTTAACACCATGCAAATAAGATCCGTTTCATTTAAATACTAATCTTGGTATCAGCGATTACTACAACGATATTATTATATTTTTATTGTTTTCTTTAGCCTTGAGCCGTAACGGGCGACAAAGCGCGCAGTTAAGTAATTTTGAATCTTAACAGCATGGAAAAAAACTCTGTTGCATTTAAATACGAATTACGGTATTAACGATGTCTTTGAAATTTTGTTCAGCCTTGAGCTGGATTGCATTGGTACTTAACACGTAATAGTAAGGGATGCCAACTTACTACTTAAGAATTTTCTGCCTAAATTAAGGAAGAAAAATATACAATGGAAATTTTTTAGGAGGTAAATTTTTTGTGAATATTTTTTATTAGCTAAATTTTATTCATATTTTTGGAAAAAAATAAAAGTACACAAAAAGAAAAATATAATTTAATAGTGCTGTGCTGCTTTGGTGGAAATCAGACCAAGGCTTATGTGCCTTGTGTGTATATTTTAAATTCTTCCGCCCTAAGCTATAATACTGAATGTATTATTTCTTACACAAATAATAAAAATATTGCCACTCGATTGCGTGTTCTAAAAATATGTTAAAGTCAATTATTAAGCGGTATATAAGATGTTAAAATAAATCATTTTTATATTACTTCAATTTATATTTTTAATGAAATTTTTAATTTAATAATTTAAAAAAACGCATTTTTAGTAAGACAGAGTTAATTATTAATGATCGTCGAACAAGACTTTCGATGAATAAAGTCAGAGAGCTTACGTTCCTAAACGTGAATTTGAACCCGGAGGGATATAAATAATTATTAACCCTGACATAATTGTAAATATATAATGTTAAGTTTTAAATATAAGGAAAATTATGTACATAGAATGAATCAATTTTTAAATACGCCTGCACAATTTTATATTTATAATAAGTATGAAATATTGCAGCCAGTCCTAAGCCTGGAAAAAGTATGAAGGGAAGTTATTTCATTCATCTTATATCCACTCCCTTAAAGTATACAATTTTTTTTTTTGTTTAGAATTCAATTAATCGACGTGGATAGGGAACCGTAAAATATCTAGATATTAAAATACATAGTTTCGAAATCGATATCGGATTCAGATACGGTACTCAGAAAAAGCGATACGACCCATCTCTACTTCACTCACAACACTCGCGCGCGAGTCGAATGTCTGCCTTCTACTCACTGGCTGACTATTCGGCAACGAAGGACCATGTACAAATTCAAAGCGGTTGTATTTTGGGTCCGTGAGGTTAATTGAAATAAACAAGGTTCACGTTGCAAGTTTTTTAATCAACAATTTTTGCGGACCCTCATACTAATTACAACGGTCAAACCATAGTGTGTTTTAATTTACTACTAACGCCACCTATGTATTACAAATAAGAAACTAAATATTATACAAAGCTAAAATGAAATAATTGTAGAATTTGTATTTATGTCTATGATAATAAAAGCCTTTTATTAAACTTTATCTAATTTAACTTTATTTAACCAATTTCTGTTAAGTTGCATATAGTAAATCATCACTTCTTACGAGTGTACGCTAGTACACGCACACATTTTTTTTAGCCTTCTACCACTAGCTTATCGCCGCGACTCAATCAGCGTGTCTTACGGAACAAACATAAAAACGCAACTTTATATTCAGCCTACCAACTAAGCGGTTGTAGTATGGAGTATAATGATGACGATTCTTAAATTATTACTAATACCAAAATAACAATTTTCGTAAATTAAATAAAAACGGTGGGAGTTTAACAACTATGGTAGATCTACAGTACAGCTTACAAAATTCTATGAATGGACAAGCTCATCCCGCGAAGTACAAATCACGGGTCTCACATAAAACCGGCGTGAATAGCGAGGTAACCGCTGCCTACTCTCTTAAAGGTTGACAAGCCCTCTTCATCCATATCAAGAGGCGGCAGTTTCCTTAAAATCAGGTGAATTGCCTCTCCTAAATATTTTTTCATTTACTTCTCGCTAATTTTAAACTACGTTATTCATCGTTCATTTTTCGCATATCTTATCAATATAAAAAGTATTATTTTAGTATTATTTATAAGTGAAGTCCAAACAAAGCTGACATATGTACGACGGTTTCCAACTAAATGTTTAGTTTGGAAGCTATAATAGTCAGAAAAATATTACTTAAATATTTTTCTAACTGTACATAGCCGGGATAAGGAAGCTTAAATAAAGTGCACTGGTATGTATCTATATTTAATAAAAGGTATAAATATATTGTTGTTTTAAGGGAGTGATTATCTGACGAGCAAGCAGTACACTTTTTTTAATGTGAAAACTAATCAAGCGAGCAGACAGTTCACTTGATGTTAAGTGATATATACCGCCCATGGACATCTTACACACATAAGAGCTTGCAGATGCACAACCTTTAAAAGTCTCTCCCAAACGAAACTATTGTACTTCCACTTCGCGCCGGTCTCCTGTCTCTAAATCATGTGATTCTCATTGAAGATACATTAAGCTTTAGTGTGTTTTGTATGTAGGTTGTGCGGTCAGCCAATCCGTAAGAGGTTGAGGAGGTAAGGGGGAGAAACTTAATTTCAATATCCCTGATATAGTTTTAGAAATTAAATGTAAACAACCGTAACCGCAATTTATTGTGGGCAATTTAATTCTTATTTTAATGACAGCCAACAATCAAATGGAAACATGCGTGCATTTATGACTTCTATGTACATGTGAATACGTTCAAATTAGAAATGGTTACAGAGCAATGTTACCGATTTGTTACTTTTCTATTCTTAAGCACAGTGAGTATTGACGTAATTATATATTTACTGTTTGTCAGTGATCAAAGAATACAGTATAGAATTAAGTCATAGGTATGTAAACAAGTGGGTGAGAAGTGTCTATTCTTAAAAATAATACGATGAAATGATTATGTTATGTTAGAACGATGAATTATATTGAAAAAGTCTTAATATTTGTGCTGATGTCTTCATTGTTAACAAATATATATCATTTTCCATCTAAGTGTTTTTGAATTGGAGAGTTAATATTCTTGTTTACTTTGTTGTTCCTATTTTAGACTGCTTATTGATTTCAATCGTTATTTAAATATCAAGATTAGCAGGCTGTAAACAGATAGTCTATGTTCTTATGGCAACTTTGTAAATTATATTTTTTTTAGATTTTGACCGAACATTATCACCAAGGATATGCGTTACGGAAATTTAATAAACGAGAAGAACATGATAGCTACCTTAAGCTACTTAATCATTTACTAGATGACAACAGAAAAGGAAAATCTAAATCTACAAACAGAATTTCTTCAATGAAAAACTCTTTAAATACTCTAATAAATGAAGACTTTGATAAAAATTCTGCAGACGAACGTTTAGACAATGACAAAGTTACTCACGTGTTTGTTCTAAATGATTTGAAAGAAGATTTTCGAAATGTTGATAATTTTGTATGGACTAAAAATTTTGTGGACGACAGCGATAGCACAGACAAACAAGCTGCGAGAACGATTTACGACAGTGGACCGGACAATTCAGATGCGAAAAGCGAAGAGAATCAAGGGAAAGGTAATGTTAAGCAATCCAATGAAGATGAAGAAGACTGCAACACTTCTGAGCTAATGAGCTCCCAAGAGGGGAACGGAGATAAAAAAAGTAAAACAACTGGTGGCAAAGGCGTAGCAAGATCGTGCTCAAGACCGAAAAGCAGATGCAAGAAAGCCTGTTACTATACGTACCGAAGCGTATGCTCGTATTACTCCTGTAGCAGAAGAATGCGGTCCATGTTTAGGTCTAAATGCAAAAGTTATTGCCGTTATTATTTGTCCGGCTATTATTAAACCTAATGATGTAGCTGTTTGAATTTTCTTTAACCTGTCTGTGTTAAATAATAAAGACCATCACGGTTTCTGTTATTCTGAAAATGTTTCCAGTGGAATAAACTTTTTTAGAAAAATATAAACATTTTTTTCCTTAACGTGTTTGTTTTGTACATATGACGATATAAGAAATTCAAAAGGGAGCTAAGTAAAAGCATTATTAGACAAGTTAGTATTATTAGACAAGTATCTATATTGCTATACGTTTAGCTAAGCGATGTCGTTTCCGGTAATTCAAAATTGGTGTTGTAGTCGTTAAAAGAATTATACACTTGCATTGTAGATTGTATCTTTGAATACCAGTGACCGAATGATTTGAGGTTACGTCGCTAACGCTTCTTTATAATTAAATTAAATTATTTAAGTAAATTTATCTTGCTTGATCACCTCTTACATTGGCACTTAATACTTAAGTCGATAGAGCAACATGAGATTAAGTATATGAGTAAATAAGCTAATGTTATGTTACTACTCAACGGTATTTTCCAATCTAACTCCAAACAGTGTGTAAAATTCACTTGCTGTGCAGAAGAACTTCCGAAATAAAAACATGGTTGGCAAATAAGTAACATACATAACCGTGAACATCTCTAGAGGGCTTACAGATGCGTTGGCAACCATTAAGACCATTGTACCGCGATCATCCGAACCCACTAGACGAAAAGCCAATTTCAAACACTTCTACTTCACGCCATAGATCTTCGGCCATGGCTTTTCCTCGGATAAGCCTACCAATTCGTACAAGGAGATGTGGTAGGGCCTCACAACGGAATCTATTGCAATGTCTTAGTGTATATATCTATCTATATGTACTAATTTATAAAAGAAAAGTGTTTTTGTAATGTATATAGGTAAGTGTGAGCTTTAATTTGGGATTAGATATCGTTGTCGAAAACTTTTTTATGTTCTGAGTATTATATAAATGATGGTCAAGGGCATGTGATTGGTGATTATGGTCGAATCCAAGTTGCTAGCACCAATGTTACTCAGCATTTCCAATTAAACTAACTACATATGAACGCCAGCTTCGAAGCCTGTGATATTAGTGAATATTGATTGCACAAATTCAATTACTAGTCTGCAGTTTTATAACAGATTAATAATTGAAATATAATCTATTACGTGGATGATTTTATTGAGTAACGCAATCGCAGACTTTACGAGCGATGTCGTTCGTAACGCATTCGACTTTTTGTTCGCTTTTCCTGTTGGTGATAGTTGTGAGTTTTATTTAATTCGAAATCACATTAAAAAAATCTATATATTGTTGACGACCCGATGAGTTTTAAGGGTAGTGACCCTGCCTCTTGCGCCAGAGGGTGTGGGTTCGATCCCCACTACTGGAAAAATATTGTGTGATGAACATAGTGTTTATATATTTATAATATGTATTTATTTACAAAAGAAAAGTATTTTTAAGTATGTTTATCAGTTATCTAGTATCTATAGTACAAATGTTGCTTTGCTTAGTTTGGGACTAGAAAACGTTGTGTAAAAGGTGTCCTGAAATATTTTATATTAATATATAATAATGATATATATGTAGTATAAATGAATAAATATCTTCTATATCTTGTTTAAATATATTTTTAAAAAGAAATTTCAAATTATTAAAATTATGATTTACAGAAAGGTATCACGGGATCACTTTTGAGGACAAGGCTTCGGCATCTCGATCCGTACTACGACGATTTGTTGGGCAATGGTGATGAGGAGAGAATTATTGTGATCGCTTTAATAGACGTAAGAAAAATCAGTTTATAATCATTAAAATCGTGTCATCATCAAATGATCGTGTGCCAGAATATGGCTTAATACTTTCCATTCAGAAGAAAACTTAGCCGCGTAATGGGATATACATAATTACATGTATGGGCTGCTTATATCCTATAGGACAATTAGGGTTGATAGTTTGAAGATTTCACCTTAAGAGAATTCAATATTCTTGGAGAACATCACCACCACACTTCTGCCCCGCGCTTCTGGTTCAGCACCATCCTGAAGGAGCTATTTAAGGACCACAAGTACCGGTTCTCCATCCGCTTTTAGAAGCTCGGCTGAAATTCCATCCTCTCCTGGTGCTTTGCCATTAATAAGATAGTCAAGAGCTATACTAATCTCGCTCAGACTCACGTCCGGGATATTAATACTATCGTTTTAATTACTATCGACTAGCTTTGCCCTTGTGTCATTACTCACATACAGTCGTATGAACGGCTCCAACGACGATGAACCAAGTTAATACTGCACTAATTTTATCATAGAAAGGGACCAAAAATGCGGGAAATGCGATTTTATTTTTAAAAATCTGTGATTATTTTAAAAAATCATCCATTCTTAACAGGAATAATTGATAGTATCGTTCTATAAAAATATTTTGTTACTGTCAATCTGTTTGTTATGCGGACCTTTATTTGGTGGTGGTGATTACTACCTTACAGGGATCCTGTGCAGTAGAGATATATTTTACGTTTGTAAAAGATTGCACTGTGTGTTCTTATCATACGCATGCTATAAAAATATATATATTCTGTTACCACAGGATGACACAAATTCCATAGGCGCGTATAAGAATTTAATTTTGAGAACAAACGAAAATGAAAAACCGACGGTTGAGTTGAAATCGCAGATACCACACACGGACACTTTGCAAGGAGAGCCACAGAAAAAACAAGACAAAGGCGATTTTGACGGGTTGAAACTAACCAGACAACAGAAGAGCATGTTGAGAAAAAAATGGCGGGCGTCGTGCGACAGAAAAGCCGCGAAAACTTGTAGGAAGGCTTGCAAGATGGCGGCATTAATGTCTGTCGCTCGTACCATTGCAAAAAGAGTTTACGTAGACGGTTTAAGAGAGAATGCAAGGAAAGTTGCAAATCGAAGTTTGTAGGTTCAAAATCGTCGGACACAGGATCGGATTCCGATTAATTTATTTTAATATACTTTAGGATCTATTATTAAGGTATAATAATTATTATGTATAACCGATCGGTATAAACTTGTGAACGTTTCCTGTTTATGTACAAAGAAAAATGTAAATGGAATAAAATTGTTTAGTTAATCTATATGCAGTTTAATGATCTTTTACAATTTTATTCTTTTCTTTTTTTACAATTTTATTTGTTTCTGCTAATTTCATTCTTCTCTCCTTTTACAATTTTATTGCTTCTTCGAATGCCGTAATGTAGAAGTGTATATTTTGTATTTGCTCTAATCAGTGTGACCGAGGCATTCTTTTACCTCCATACATACCAGTTATATGGGCGACGGTAACTTAACATTAAATGAACCGCCTATGTAAAACATAAAACAATTCGGAACAATAGACATTGCTCTGAAAGACTTCTGCGTTTATTGTGTTACGACTTACGTGTCTCAATTGTAGTATTTTGGTTACTTCGACGATAAATACATCCATTAATATTCCAATAATACATCTACGCTTACCCCCTCTTACTACTTCAAACTTTTAGTAACAACATACGCAAAATCTATTTCTGAATATAGAAATATTTGCAACAGAAAAGAAACGTTTACAACCCAAACGGAACAAAAAGTTGAAAGTTAACTTTTTTTCATAGTGGATTAAGAAAATAAAACAACTCCAAACATTATAATCTGTGTTTATTATATAATACATCAATAAAATACAATTTGTATAACTGTGATAATAACTTGTTAATTTTTCACAAATCATCGAAATATCATTGATATAAAAAAAGAAATCAATGTCAACAAACAACCGAGTTAATACTACTCTTATAAATCTATTCTATAAACATACCCAAAAAGGGCGGGAAATACGATTTTATTGGTTATCTGTGGTCGGGATCTTAACATCTTTTATTTATTGCACCCGATTTGGAAGACTACAAGTAACTAACTACAATTTTAAATGTCTTCACACCAGTGACAAAGTAATGGGGAAATGGTTAGTAATTTTAAAGTTTTGTGTCTTGACTGTTAATTAAAAACTAATTCACTCTTATATATTACAAAGTAATACTTTCCGGACGGAATGTTGAAAGAAAATTAACAATGGTTAAAGACATTTCTTGTTATTATTTTCGACTTAAAACAAATTTGTTACCAGCATATAATAAAATTGTGACATTTTACTTAGATTAAGTAACTACAAGTTAAATACTACAATATATATTTCTGCTTTCACAACCGAAAAACAAAATACACATTATTTTTGTTAAATAAACTTGACGGAATGTCAAATAGAATTTAAATTACATAAGGCACATTTTTTCGTTACAATTTAAGATCATTAAATATAAGTACAATATAAATCTGGCACTACAAGTAGTTTATATATAAAATATAACATTCCAAAAAGCCTTCAACTAACCGCTTCTCTATAATGCCATAGTGTCGTATAAGCGTCTAGAAATTTCTATTCAGAAATTCGACTAATGTGTACGTTCAAACACAATACGAACATTTAATTGGATTTTGGAATGGAATAATTGGAAGTTGACATTTTATAGAGATATAGAATTCAAAAAGACAGTCTGCCCTAGTATTGCCATACCTAAAAATCCTTAACTTCCTATAGGCTCATATTGTCAGTTTTAAAACTGGCTAAGGTACGTTCTCTTTTGAACACAAAAGAAAGAACTATATACAGGTTTGAAATGGACCTTCAATGGTTTTATGAGGTAAATTGTATCCAGTGTACTATATATATATATATATATAATCTGCCCTCCCTAAATATTTAGACCGATAAGCCTTGCCGTTTGCAAGTCACATCCACTGATAAACAGAACTAACTATATCTCAGATCGACGAAAGATTCGGGATGTAAGGAGAGCGCGAATTGATGACATGACACCGTAAAATATTTGCGTCTCAGCTCAGAGGTCTCAAATCGGACCTTGTTAAGGGGGCTACGCGCAATTACGTACAGTAAAGAAAGAGAGAAAGATACATAGATGAATTTCATCGTTTATATACTTCCAAACAAAAAAATTAGAGTTGGTATGTGAGTTCAGAGTAGACCCCCGCTTGGACTTTTGGAGCTTGATTTTATGATGGATGTTACGGATATGTTCCCTGAGCTGGAGCTTAAGCCAGGCGGTGGGGACCTTGGTAACGAGAATCCCCTGTCTGATAGGTTTTCTTGGCTGTGAGATTTGACCGTCGCGAAGACGGGTATTTTGGACGACACCGGCGAATTGGCTTTCTGCTTGTCAGACAGCTTGACCGGTATGCTGCTGGGCTTGGCGGATATCGCGGGCTTCTGGCTCGACACCTGGTCGGTGGCCCTCAACGCCAGCTGGTCCAGCTGGGACAGTCGCCGGTTCTCCAGGTCGGTGCTCGTCACTATCGTGCCCTTGGGCGATTCGTAGGTCGCCGTCCGGAATTTTATGTGGCTGTTCCGCGGTAGATCGTAGTCGGAGTGCCTCTTCTTTGGTTCGCTTTTGGACGGTTTCCGTTCGTTGAGCGCTTTCGCCGTGTGATGCCTTTCGTTTAAAATGAAGTCGATCAGCAGCTCAATGTCGAGTTCGTAAGACAGCGCTGGCTCTTCGTAAGTCGGTGCTCTCTGCCTACTAGAGATTTTGTCTTTGACCGTTTCCTCTTTCGCCTGTTTGGTCTTCTCAGTCCGCGGTGTGACGACTTGGATTTCCGTTATGTGCTCCTTCTGCTCTGAGTCTTCGGCTTTTGTGTGTTTTTGTGCAATCGGCATCGAACCAGGGTTTATGGAGTATCGAGTCTTGGAGATTTCTACAGAATCCTGGCTTGTTGTGCGTTCATCCTCCAAATCCTGGACAATTCTGATCCCCATTTTCGATAGTTCTTCTGGAGTTTTCTGCGCCATGAAGCTCGGATCGTTCTGCAGTTTCTGCATCAAGGCTTTCGCTTGCTCCTCGTCCATTTCGGTCGTATTCAGTATGATGGTTTCCGTCCTTGTGTAAGAAGGCTCATCCGATGTGAAATGGATATTGGGGTTCTGGCGTTTGATCTCTTCCAGAAATTTCCTATCGATATCCTTGACGTTGCCTTCCTCCAAATTTAGCTCGTCGACGTTTGTCGTGTTTCTGGCGATACCGAAGGTGATCTGCTCGACTTGCAGAGGAGCCTCTGTTCTGGAAGTGATGTACTGAGTAGAAAACTTTTCCACGTTCTGCGTGATAACTTTGTTTCCAAACTCGTCTTCTGTTACGTTTACCGTGACTGTTTTTTGGACCGGCTCTTGGGTCATGGTCAGAGACACGTTTCCAGGCTCCATGTACAAAGTTCTGTTCTCCTTGTGTTCAGATCGACCCTTGGTGCCTTCTATCACGTCCGGAACAATCCTCATCGTCGGTTCGCCGATCTCAATTGATTTTGTGTAGGATTTCCTGTTGGTCTCGGGCGCGCTATTTTTCTCGTTCGTGGAAATAGTGACGACGTTACTAGTTTGCGCTTCTTTGGTTTCCGACCATTGCGAGGGAGTTTCTTGAGGTTTCTTAGTCATTTTCAAGCTGTTATTATTCGAGCCAACCCTAATGTTGCTCACGAACTCGTCGTAGTCTTTAGCTTTGGGGTCGGACGACTTTAGATCGAAGTTGACAATGTCCGGTTGGTGCATGGAGGACTTGTAGGAATCCGTCATGGGCGAATCTTTACTGGTAGTTGCTTCGTGTTTCTGTGTTTGCTCAATATGAACGTTGAAGATTGGGTTCTTTGCGAGAAGTTTCTTCATCATATCAGATTTAGGCCTCTCCAAACTGTTTGCGTAGGTGTTGCGAGACATCTTAAGGTCATCAGGAATGTTAGTGTCGTAGTTCATATTCATCTTTTCTTGGTATTTTGATGGTGAAGATTTATTTTCGGTGTTAGCTTGGGCTTCTTGGTTCTCTAACGAGCTCATGTTGCTACCGTCCGAAGTAGATTTCGCGAATTCTGAGACAAGTTTGAAATGGACTTTTAGGTTTTCGTCCATTATCCTCCTCGCTAAGTGGTCGGAGGTCTCATGAGTTTCACTCTCTTGTAATATGCCCATTTCTTTGTTCATCTTTCTCTTAGCCACTTCTCCTGTCTCCTTATCGGAGTCTACGGAGCAGTTTGATCCTTTGACAATAGCGTCTTCCAAATTTCCGAACTCAGACGCCTTTTTCAAACGGTTTCTCTGGAATGTATTCAGACCCTCTATTGCCGAGGTCTTAGCTATGTTCAGGCTCAGCCTCGGCTCCTTCTGTTTGGACAGAGCACTCCTCTCCTGATCCGTCATATCAGTCAACGCTTCTTGAGTTCCGGAATCGTAAAAGTTCGTTTCAACGACCGACATCGCTTTTCGTTTCTTCGGCGACACAGTCTCTTGGATTTCGGCGTCCTCGGCCGATATATCTAGGCTCTGCGCCCGTTCCAAAGTGCCAGTGGAGGGTTGGTTCGCCTTGACCCTGAGTTCGAATCTGGATAAATCGCCCAAGGAAGCCGCTTTGCGTTCGTTATCGTCTAGGAGTGAAGTGTCGTCGGACGCGGAGTTAGCTGTTTCATTTAAAGGCGAACTGTGTATTGTTATATCGCTGTTGTTGAGCTCGATAGTGGTTGAGCCCTTCTCGCTTCTATCGCTGTTGTTAAGAGAGACCACCGAATGCACGTCCTGGTTGGACGACAGGTTCGATTTGGAGTCCTCGAAGAAGTTGTTCAAAGAGTCGCTCTCTCTCTTGAAAGGCTTCGTTACTATATCGTCTATGTCGTCCTGACTGAAGTTGATTGAATCATCTGGTCGAGGGGTTTTGGTCTTAACAGCTTTGGGTGTTGAAGTGTTGTACGATATTGACATTGAAGGGGTTGATTTGTTCGAAGTAAAGGAAGAATCCTGTAGAAGACTGGAATGTTGCTTTTCGCTTGTGAGGAACTCGTTTACGTTCTTCAGCCGCTCCAAGATGCTGTCGTCGCTCTTATTCCTCTCGGTGTCGGGAGGCGACGGCGCTTTTCCCTTGGATTTCTTCGCCGGCTTAGGGATCTCTTCCTTCCGCAACTCTTTTTCTTTCTCCCTCTCCCTCTCTCTCTCCTTTTCGGGCACCAAATCAGCCGAACTCCTCCTGTTGCTGCGCGCCGCTTTCGCCGCTTCGTACATGTGCGGGGGCAGCTCCTGCGGTATCCCGTTCTCGTCCCGCCTTATGCCGCTCGAATTGAGATCGCTGCGGTCGAAGCTCGACGCCGAACTGTCCGCGGTCTTAGTTTCGGACTGGTTCTCCAAGTCGCCGGACTTAACGCGCGCGTTCGGTATCGGCGGGGCCATTTTCTCGCGCCGTTTCGCGACGACCGGCTTCTTGATCTCCGTTTCACTTTCCCGCCTCGTCTGGGCGGGTGGGCGCTGCGACTCGCCCTTGTCCGTCTCATCCGTGGTCTTCGTATCCAGGATCACGTTCCCGTTTTCGGCGGTCTTCTGTTTCAACACGCCGTCGTCCGGAACGTTCGGCGGCAGTACTCTTATGCCGAATTTCATTCCCCTCTTCGGGTCGTAGTCCTTTTTCTGGACCTCGGCCTGCTCTAATTGAGTAATCCCATTCTCCGGCTGAATGATTTGTATATCGCTGCCCGATGAATGCCTGTTCTTGCTCCGTTCGGGTTTCGTTAGACCGGGAGGTACGTCGGAATGCCTCGTTTTACCCGCCATTTTCAGATTCTTCTCGTTTTCCCGTTCTAGCGTTGTCGGTGGCTCTTTCCTCTCTTTCTTGTTCCTCTCGAGGGTCGTGGTAGTGATGATCTTCTCTGCCAATATTTTCTTAATGCCGCCCTTACTCTGTTTAGTTTCTAGTGTTGAGTTATTGGAGTGCGACGCGTTCGGCGATCGGGGCGGATGCAGAAGTCTCGCTTCTTTTTCAAGCTGGAAAAAGAAAGAGAGAAAATTCAAGTCAGTAGTCAGAAATGTCTCATTAAATATTTTTAAACACTTAAACAATTTTACTGCTGTCTTCAGTTTTTTTGAATATATACGTATATTGATGATGAAATAGAATACGTTAGAACATGTAATACGGCGTTGCCTTCATTTATAAAGTACTCGATGTTATTACAAGCAGTCGAACGATTTGCATTCCATGGCGTAGACGACACTATCCATAAACACGCGGTTCAAACAAAGCTCCGGGACAATAATGTTGATCGATAAACATCCCTATTATGAAAGCACTAGCGCTTTTAATGGCATCGCTTTGTTTTGACACTTGGGATGTTTTAATGGTGCTTCCTTTATCGGCCATTTTTATTTGATCCGCGTAGGCTGTTAGTGTAATTTGAAACTATGAATGGTTAGGGGTCTTCGGAGATTTGTCGTCTATTCTGTGAATGAGTAATTTGCATGCGGTTTTTTCATAACAATGAGTTGGAATTCTTTTTTGTTATAAATGGTGAGACCATTGTTTGATTTTTGATTCAAATTATATAATTGTGTATATCCAAGATTCTAATACACGCCTATACCTACCACGGGGACAAAATTGGGTTGGTGCATTAGAACCGGCTGGGCTAGCAAAAGTTTAGAAGCACTATTCATATAAATGTATCTTGGAAATTTATAGTTAAGTTTATACATGTGAGGAATCCATAACTATAATAAATAGTTCTGGGAATTACTTGTCTGTATTTCTGTATCTGCTGTCTGAACTTTACACCAGTGTAATAATATGCGAGATAGGAAGCCCATTGAAGAAGCCTATTTATTATCTTGGATACTTGGGACGCCCGGTCGAACCGTGATATTTTAGACATAAACTTCATCCGCCAAAGCAGCCGCAGTTTTCACCACCATTTAAGTGTCACCTAAAGTCTTAAGCGTGACACTTAAGCAATGGTGAAAACAAAACTAGCACTTAAATTTTTAGGTGTAAGGGACACCTAAAAAATTTAAGTAGTAGTAAATTTAGAAATCAATGGTGAAAACTGGCATTATTCCTATAAACACTGTTTTTGTGTATACACTGCTACAGACTTTAAATCAGAACCGTTGTAGGTCAGCTTCTGCGCGCTTGTTTTAACAGGCATCCTGATTGAATCCATAAACGTAGTTTCATTAAGTAATGTACAACCGGCTCGTGTAAAAAATATTGTGAAGATATGTGACATCTGCTCATCCACAATTAAGGAATTTTCAATTATTCAGGCAATTATTCTAATCTTACTTTAACACGTTTTTCATTTTTATTTTACGTTTTTATTTTTTTTTATTTTCTATTACAGACGTTTACAATTGCTCAAGTTAAAGAAAAGGTTCCTAGATAGACATCATCATTACCTTCAATCGTCGCGTCGGGAATGATAATCAAATCGGGAATGATATTAAATCGACTTTAATTTTCGGATCGTGTGACTCCGTGGCCGGGTTTGTGAGTTCGATTCCCACACGGAACAACTATTTGTGTGACCCACAGATAATTGTTTCAGATTTGGGTGTTTGGCCACGTGGAATTTGTGTATGTAAAACGTCCTTACAACACAGGATAATGTTATCCTAAATTAAGGGCAATGTTTTGTAATAAAGGAAAAGAAATAATTTTACGGATCTTATATCACTGGTACAACCGATATACTGCAATTTATCCACACCGTAATGGATAACGGGCTCTGATCGAAGCGACCGATCTGCCTTCACTCACGTAGACCAAGATTATGGTATAGTAACGCCCACAATGCGCACGTGACCATTCCAGAGGGGAAAACCTCTCGGAAAGCCGCGCTCGTTTGCCTTGATCTCTAGCAGCGTAATTCTCGTATATGGCATACAATGGACATTTTCGAATCCCTACCTAGAGGTTTCGTATGATAGATCTTTCATTTTACAAACCCGAAGCGACTTTGACCGAATTTTATTTGATTCAAGAATATAATAATGTGTGTGATTTCTGACGTTGTTACAAAGTTTTTACTACTAGCAGATAAGTGGGTAGTAGAAATACGTTATAACAAAGTTCACTATCCCTGCTTTTAGAGTTAAGTTGTTTTGATTTTGTATATGGCACGAATTAATACATTTTTAGTTTCCTTTCTGTTACTCTGACTCAAGCTTTTGTTTATGTGGTTGGATATCTTTGTTAATTACGGACAACAATTACTTTCAGGTATATAAACGAACAGAAAAGAGAAAAGGAAACCATTTTTACGACAACTATGACTGTAAAGTTTAAGGAAAAATTTTAAGGAAAGTTTGGTACATACAGAGAAGTACCACGACCTCCCAGAAGGCCGGCGTGCAGTGAACGCATATCTGACGCTATTTTACGGTGGTAGGGCCACGCAGCAGCCTCGCTGTTGCACGAATGGGCAGGCTCGTCCGGGTAAATACCACGACCTCACAGAAGACCGGCGTAAAGTGGAAGTATAATACTTTCGCGTTTCGTCTGGTGAGTGAGGTAACCGGAGCCCAATTTTTAAAAGGTTGTCAACGCATGTGCAACCCTCGGGTGTAGCAGATGTCCATGGGCGGCGGTATTCATTTAACATCAGGTGAACCATCTACTCGTTTGGCAACTTAAGTGTCACACTGCTGCGGTTCGTCCGTTGAGTGAGGTAATTAGACAAAACTTTATTAAAAAGAAGACCATGGATGGCGGTTATCACTCCAGTTGAACCGCCAGTTCGCTGGCCATCATCACAAATAAAAATATCCTCTAAATAATGACACCGAAGTTAAGCCTTCCACAAAGACATTGTCGTCAGTATTACGTGTCTTTCGGTTCGTCGTACTGACACTAAGCGATCACAGCCCACTGCACACATTTTGACACAGCGCCAACTTTTACTTTCAACGTTGGGCAACACTCGTGATATGCTCACAATGCAAAGGTCGTGACCGCGCTTTGGTGATCTTTATAATGTATGTTTTTTGTATGGACTCCGATACGAATTTTAATATTTTTATCGCTTTCTAATGATACCTGTGATTTTGAAAGAACGAAGCTATAACATATTCAAGACATCTTATTTAGTTCTATGAAGGGCCGAATTACCCAGATGGGTAACATAGTCACCTTACATAACAGTTTAAATCGTGTATTGGTTACACGTTTCAGTGTCTCCACACGATCGTATTAACAGATTTATGAAAAAGAAAGAAATTAACGCAAATATTACCTATTTTCATAAATTTCGCAAAAAAGAGGAAATTTACGAAACATGTGCAGTAAATGATTGGGTGACTAGCAATAGTTGCTTACCATACAAACGTCGCCAGTGGAACCGGCTCGCTTCAGGAGGGGATGTTTGACAGCCCACCCACCCCCGCTGGCCCTTCCGCCCTCGACTATTTCCAACTCCACGGGGTAAGGTGACGCCAGCGATAAAATCGCGACGGCGTCCTCTAGCGGGGTGCCGGTCAATTCGATCTTGATGCTTTTGATTTTGTCCCCTAGAATGTAAAAAAAATTGCATTGGCAATATTTTACAATGTACGATGTTTAGACAATTGGCAACCTGTCGATTGTGGTGATGGATAGTGACCTGTTCATTGCACCAGTGTCTGTGGGTTCGAAACCTATATTGGAAATAAGCACAATATTATGAATACATTGTGGTCTTTAAAACATGTAGAAAAAGTACGAAAAGATTGCCGCCGCTGTGGGAATCGAACCCACGTCTTCGGCATTCGCGGCCTGACGCTCTAGCCACTGAGCTAAACGGCTGACAGCCGATCTAAGATAGATCTTAAGTGCAGAGATTAGCACTATAAAAAACTTTAAAACATTGTGGTGTTTTAATGTCTGGGTGATTTACCTAGCGCCCGCAGTAAGTGCATGATTGCTTAGTCTTATGTCTTATGTCTTATGTAGTATATATTTATTTTAAGATATAAACGGTTTAATACATAAACATATACAATTTGGTGTCGAAAACAACAGTAACTATTTAACTGCGCCGGGTTCCAAATTCAAGTAAGTCACGTTGACCGTTAAGCCAATCCAATGACATCGCGTGAACCTTTAACTCAATGTTAATTGTATAACGTAATACACCCGAGCTAGTGCTCGAAAGGTTGACACTTTCATAAAAAAATTACATGTCCATTACTTCATACGAGTATATCAAGTTTTAGTATGGATACTTTCTTTCTATCAGAAAGCGAAGGTGACAATAGTGGACCTTCATGTTTGCCGAATTCTGATGACAAGTTGAGTCCAATTTGTATGTATTTTAATGTAAGAAGGTGGCAAACGAGCTGACGGTTCACCTGATGTTAAGTGATAACCGCCGCCCATGGACATTTGCGACACCCGTGAGGTTGCAGATGCGTCATTGGAGTTGCATTTCTAATCATTAAGATCATTCTATTTTCATCATTTATTTCAAGATTATTGTGTTTCAGAAACCAGGCGTAAGTGTTCCACAAAAGTTATCTGTAAGGATCAGTTATTAATTGATGACTCCGTGGCGCAGTTGCCAAGGTATTGGCTTCGTCGTCGGGGGTCGTGGGTTCGATTCCCACACGGGACAACTATTTGCGTGATTCACAGATAGTCGTTTCGCGTCTGGGTGTTTGTCCGCGTGAAATTTATGTTTGTAAAACGTTCTTACAACACGTCATGTCATCCTAAAGTAGGGGCAACGTTTTTCAACAAAAAAAAAATTAGTTACATCACCAGTCTATACAACAGACTTTTTGCAAGCTGCCAGCTGTATAGTTCTTCGGATAGGCTGTGGCACGCACCTGGCAACGTTTTTCAACAAAGAACAAAAATTAGTTACATCACCAGTCTATACAACAGAGTTTTTACAAGCTACCAACTGTATGGACCTTCGGATAGGCTGTGGCACGCACCTGGTTGCAGGCTCGCCGCGGCGGCCGGCCCGCTCCTCAGCACGGAGTGCACGTGCACCCCCTCCCGCGCGCCTCCGCCGCAGCGCAGCCCCAATCCCGTGAAGTCGCGCGCCCATAGCTTCACGCGTCGCACCCTTGCGCGCTGTGATCAAACGATGTGCTTGTTAATTTTTATACCCGTTTCTTTAAATGAATACATTAACGATAATAACCCCTGGGAATGAGATAATCACTCCTAAGCTATTTCTAAAAACAAATATATACTGTATAACTATGTATTTGATGAGTAAAAAAAAATGACAAAAAAGAGGATACCTACGGAGTTTCTTTCGCCTGTTTCTTCTCCGTTAGAGGAACCTCATTACGAAACGGTGGTAGATTTAAAAACTGACTATCGATAAATGAAATGTATATTTCTTATTTCGATGAATAAATGATTTGAATTGGAATTTGAATTTGAATTTACACTCCTTAATGTTATTACAAAAAGGTAAAATTGGTCTGTTTTTTTTGTTTTTTTTTTTATGTGAAAAGTTGCCAAACGAGCAGGTGGTTCGCCTGATGTTAAGTGAATACCGCCGCCCATGGACATCAGCTACACCCGAGGGATTGCAGATGCGTTGACAACCTTTTGAAAATTGGAAACCGGCTACCTCATTCACCAGACAAAACGTGAAAGTATTATACTTCCACTTTACGCCGGTCTTCTGTGAGGTCGTGGTACTTACCCGGACGAGCCTGCCTGAGGCTGCTGCATGAATGGGCTAGACTAACACCATTTGTGTAACATATCTCAGAACCGCCACTGAACTGGTTCCGATATTTTATTCAAGAGCAAAATTAGCATTGCTGAATAAAATTAATTTAAATGTTTAGTTAAAAACCTCAATGTTTATTCATCATGCCCGAAGAAAAGGCCCTATGTTTGACGGTAGTCACGCAACCGTTTAGTATGTCAGTGTGTTAACTGTCATTATATGATAAAATATTATAATTGCAATGTGTGTTACTCATACATTTAGTAATTGCATTGTCTAAAATATTTAACAGAAAGAAATATATCGAAATTTAAAGCAACCACATAAATGCGAAGTCAGGCCGGGCTAGCTAGTACCTATGATGTATAATTTGTCTTCACGATGTATACTTTCCTCTACCATCTATTTAATGTAGAATAATATTTAGAACATTTCCCTAATTCGCCTAACCACACTTACGGGAAGTAGATTGACCGTTTATCACCAGAGACCACTAAGAACGGCACAGACCGAACAATGCGGAGGCCTTCACGGCGATTACAACGACAATTCGATATTTAAACGAAATGGCGCTTTTTTAACATAGTCACGCGATCTCAACGAAAACTCCGTTTAATTCGTCCAATTCATATTTGCCACGCCATCGGTTCCAAGGAAACTAGGAAGTGTTACTTCCGGTAATGGTCAATAACAATTGACATCAGATGGTGTTGGAAACAAACACGATCAACGTCTATAAAAAGGCAGTTTGATTCATTCAATAGCTAATAAAACGAGTTTTCCTGTTAATGTAAAAAGTTGGCGAGCGAGCATGCGGTTCACCTGATGTTAATCGACTACCACCGCCCATGGACATCTATTGCGGATGCGTTGCCCACTATTTTAACAGTGGGACCTGGCTACTTCACTCACCAGACGAAACGCGAAATTATCATAAATCCACTTCACGACGATCTTCTGTGAGGCCAATGTGTTTCGCCGGACTAGACTACCCATTCATGCAACAGCGGAAGCTACCGCGAGCCGCTGCCACAGAGTTTAGATACGAATTTCGTCCATAATTTTGCTTACGTCATCAACTACGCCCAGGCAGTAGAAGTTTCTAGAACGCCCTTTACGTTAGCATTCCTGTGAGGGTATACTATAATTGTGTAACAGTATTGAACACATTTTAATCTCAAGATAGTTTCAACTCTGAACAGTTACAAATAGGCTATTCAAATATTAAATTTGAAGATTTAATTTCAAGGGCAGTGTGTGACCTCTGCCGAAAACTTACAAACTACTCGTTGGCGAAAGCTACTTTTGTTACTAAGCTATTACGTCGACGTATTAGTGCGACTCGGGCATGTATCATGCTGGATGAAACACACGATTTAACCTCATGAAAAGTACAGTATCAGCCTATACATGTCCCACTGCTGGGCAAAGGCCTCCTCTGTACAGAGGGTATCAGGGCATAATTCACCACGCGGCCCAACGGCGGACTGGCGGACTTCACATATTTTCGAAATATTTTTTTTTAATTATTATTTCGAAAATATGCAAGTTTCCTCAGGATGTTTTCCTTCACCGCTGAGTACATGATAATTCAGCACTTGAAATTAACAATTTTATTGGTGCCTGCACCGGGGATCGAACTCAGGTTGCTCGAATATATTGAATTAAAGACGACTGCCCGGACACTGAGCTATCACGGCTTATTAAAACACAACATCTTAACATTATTAAAACACTGTATTACAAACAGCTTTTCGTCTTCGCACATTACTGTATTAACGACGAAACAATCAGCTTGTCGCACTTATTAATCGATTCCAATAGCCTATAGATAATGCTGAGTAGAACAGGTACTTGAAAATTACACGTTAACTATCGTTAGTAATGTTTTAACATATCCATCGGCTGGTGACGTCACGGTCCTGTTATTGAAATCGTCCTAGTCGTGAGATCACTAAGTAAATGACTTGAAGGTTATGTCCGTATGATTTAAGGTCGTACGGATAGCCGCAATTTAAGTTGAGCATTAGTGAAGACTGATCAATTTTAATTTTATTTTTTTCTTGCAAACTGTAATTTATATTTTGTTATTAATGTTTTTAAATTTGTATCCAAGCATACGTTTTTTCCAGCATTCCAGTGGGTGTTGGATTTAAAATGTATTTGTAAGATACTGTGAGGACCCGGTTCCTTTATAAGAGTACGCGTTATGATTACTAATGTAATTTTAAATATCTTTTAGAATCGTCTGGAAATGCGTGTGGAACGGCGAATGGTATTGTAAAATTGCATGATGTTTTTAATGGACATTATGTAATTTATTGACGATGACTCTGTAGCGCAGTTGTCAAGCTATTGGCTTCGGCGGCGCTAGTTGTGGGCTCGATTACGACACGGGACCAGTATTTGTGTAACCCACGGATAATTGTTTCGGAGCTAGGTATTAACTGGTGGAACGTAGGGACGTTCCTTTCATTGGAATAAACATTAGGTTCCCCAACCTAGCCTAAAAAAACATAAGACCGTAGAATTTCTTGCCGGTTCTTCAGTGCTAGTATAAATAATCGCTAGATTAATCGCTAATTAGAGCTTAAAATATGCCAATATGCATTAGAGAAATTTCGACTTTTAATCTAAAGTATGATTCTCATATTCTGCCCACCCCACATAGCCCACCTATTATAAGAACAGGGGAAAGATCAAATTAATTGGAGATTAGACTACAAAATCCGATAATTAAGTACTCCGTCTCTAACGTAAGCTTTATATATAGATTCTCGTTACACCTTTACTTATAGTTGATGTTTCAAAAAAATACACATTATTTATACATCTCTTGCATATGGATCTGTTCCACCTCTTTATTGTCTCTATCTATTCGGTTGCAAGGGAACACCCAATGTTGTTACATTGTACGCTATTTTCCAAAAAAAAAATTAAGTTAACAAATAAAAACAAGGCGATGACTACACATCGAAAAAAACTCGACACAACGTAAAACCTGACATCATACGTCGTGTCGTCGGAGCATTAAGCGGTAAGATCACGCGCCTTTATCGAGGCACGGACGACATTCCGAACGTAGTGAACAATCAATTGCAACCTTCGGGTTGCTATTACGCGAAACGATTCATTCAAGTCTATTACTTCTTATTTATTGTTTGAAATCTTTGCTAAAGTGTATGCCCGACTTGACGTTGACAAGTTTGTGGGACTGGAATATATTACTTTAAACGAACGATTGTCTTATACTCTCACGCCCGGTTTCTGAAACACTTATCATTTGACAGCTGATTAGTTGACTTCTACGATGATGAGTGTTTCAGAAATCGGGCATCAGATTCGTTTTGGTATTAACATACAAAGTAAACAAACAAACTTATTTTAACTGTGGTAGGGCACGCAACAGTGTTCATTGTTGCTCGAATGGGCAGGTCCGTCCGAGTAATTACCACGGCTTCACAGGAGACTAGCGTAAAGTAGTGTTACACTTCTGCGTTTCGTCTGTTGGGTGAGGTAGCCGGGGCCCACTTTATTTAAAGGTGGCAACGCATTTGCAACCCTACGGGTGTTGCAAATATCTATAGGCGGCGGTTATTACTTAGCATCGGGTGAACCGCCAGCACGCTTGCCACCTTCTCACGTTAAAAAAAACTGTAAGAGTATAATAATTCTAAACAATAGCTTGTACTATTCTAAGAATGGACCAGCGCACCTGTATCGTGAGCCTGTAAAGTAAATGTGTACATCGTTTTCGTATTTCGTCTGATGTATAAGGTATCAGTCACTTACTTTTTTTTAATATAACCATACATTGCAAGTGGGCAAACGCCCAGATTTGAAACAACTTCCTGTGGGTCACACAAATAGCTGTCCCGTGTGAGAATCGAACCCACGACCCCCGGCGCGAAGCCTATACCTTCGCACCTTCGCCATGGAGTCATCTATATGCTTGGCAAAGCAAACTCATGCAATATTCATGGCGGCGGCTTAGTTTCAGGTGAACCGTCGTTTACTATATCTTAAAATATGTAGAAAGTACTATCGCAAAATAAAATCTACATCTAGAGACAAGCATTTTTTAAAATTCTAACAAGAAAGGCGACATCTCATCAAGTGTTTATCGTGAAAATTTCATTTGAGAAAGTGTTTTTGGTGTCAAAGGAGGCACATTAGATGACAACAAAGCATTGCTAAAAATGCAATAAAAACTAAGTAGCGGCTTCAGCGTCTACACGCGTAATCTGGAAGGTGCAGGGTCAATCCAGGCTTTTCATCCATTTTTTTCTGAAAATTTGAACAATTCATCTCGAGTGCAGAGATTGGCATTATAAAAATTTAGATTTTACTATATCCTTGAAAATGATACATCATAATAATTGAG